AAATGCAGAGGGTTTCCAAATCAAGTTAGTATATTGTTTGAGCTATGCCCTAGGTTTTACCCCACGATCATCACCAGTGCAACCGTTAGGCCAACTAGGCATTTGCCTAGGGCGCCGGGCTGCTGGGGGCACACACCCTTTGTTTTCTGGTGGGCTGCCTGCCCCTGCCTGGAGCCGCAGCGCCCCCCCCCCCCCCCCCACCTTCGGACACCTTGAGGATCGGCCCGGTGCTGAGGGGGGCACTGCGGCTCCAGAAGCCCTGTCACAGGGTGGCCAGGAGGTGGCCATCTGGCCACCTCAGAGTGCCCCCAAAGCTATGCCAGGTAAGGCAGAGCAGGCACCAGCTTACCTTGATGGCAGGTGCCTGCACTGCCAACAAATGACGTTTGACCAGAGGAGAGGGGGACGGAGAAGCAAGGCATGGAGAGAGGCTGTTCTTGCAGCCTCTCCCTCCTCCCTTGGGTGCCCTCTCTGATGCCGGGAGCCAAAATATGACGTAATTCCGGCCCCGGCATACTAAACCTCGGGTGGTAGGAGTGAGGAGCTGCCACACACTGGACCCCAGGAAGGTGAGTGTTTGACTGTCAGTGAGTTTGTGTGTGTGTGTCTGCCTGTATGTCAGTGTGTGAATGTTTGTCCGTGTGTGTCTGCCAGTGAGTGTCTGCCTGTATGTGTGTGTCAACGAGTGTGTGAATGTTTGTCAGTGTGCGTGTGTGTGTCAGTGAGTGTGTGAGTGTTGACTATCAGTATGTGTGTGTGTCAGTCAGAGTCTGTCTGTGTCTGTCAGTGAGTGTATGTAAGTCAGTGAATGTCTGTCTGTGTGTCTGTCTGTCTTTGACTGTCAGTGAGTGAGTGTATGTATGTCAGTGAGTGTCTGTGCGTGTGTCTGTCAGTGAGTGTATGTCTGTCAGTGTCTGTGTGTGAGTGTGTGTGTGTGCCTGTCTGTCAGTGAGTATATGTCAGTCATTGTGTGTGTGTGTTTGTGTCTGTCAGTGAGTGAGTGTATGTATGTCAGTGTCTGTGTGTATTTCTGTCAGTAAATGAGTGTATGTGTGTGTCTGTCAGTGAGTGAGTGTATGTCTGCGTATGTGTCTGTCAGTGAGTGTATGTCTATCAGTGTGTGTCTGTCTGTGTGTGTGTGTGTCTGCCAGTGTGTGTCTGTCAGTGAGTGAGTGACATGAGGGGGCGGCAAAATGGATCTTTGCCTAGGGTAGCAGAAATCCTTGCACCGGCCCTGCTCACGATAGGGCAAAAATAGGATTCGTAATATCCCTAATGACTGGGCAAATCCACTATGGAAAAATGATAGTCCCTTGGTTTATGACTACTCACAGTTTATAGCTGCTTTTAGGAGAGCTTTTTCTCCACTGGGCAGGAAAGCCAATGCTGCCAGGACTCTCCTGAGATTAAAACAGGGTAACAGCTCCTTTGTGGATTATGCCCTAGAATTCCGTTCCCTAGCAGCAGAGGTACATAGGAACAATTGTGCATTTGTGGATGTATTTCCTAACGGTTTATCCGATACCCTCTTAGAGAAGTTGTAATAATGAATAGCCAAATGCAGGTTTTCAAAGGATGTTTGAGTTGATGCGTTGCAGTGTGGAACACACTGTTCATTATTGCTAGCTATGAGGTGCATACTGTCACGCCAAGGGTGCATAATTCATTGTTGCACAACAGAATATTACCATGTAATGTAATTTGTGTAGTGCATATATGAATTGGCCACTTGGTTGCAAGGTCAGATGACAGAAGGGATAATGTAAATTGCATAGGAATGTGAAAGGAGGCATTTGGTTTACACCATGGATTGATCCTTTGATTAATCAACGGCTCTGTAAGGTGTGAGAAGTCACACATTAGTGGCCTGGAAGTCTAGTTCCAATGTAAACTAACTGCCATCAGCCATATGGCCTCTGCCTCTCAATTGATGAGTTAATTTCTTTGATATGTTCCTGATCATTAGCCTTGTGTTCAAGTATCATATCCAAAAGAAACATTAATATGTACCCACAGAATAATAATGAAGCCTTATTTTTATTATATTTAGAATGGGACAAGTGCCATCTTCTAAACAAGCCCAAACATGATTGGCATAACAACCATAGGGGAAGGGATTGTGATGTCCGCTATATTGGGTCACAAGTAAGAAGTGTGACATATCTATGGAATGGAGTAATGGTAACAAATGTATAAAGTTCTGCCTTTGGTAAAGAATCATGTTATCGGAAGAGACTAATTAGTATTTTGCAATTACATAGATATTGTGCTAAATTACATTTAGTGGGTTTTTATTATTAAGTTACCTGGGGGACCAAGTGACCCCATTTATAAATTGTCCTGGGGGTGGCAGCGATAAAATAGTAATATTTATATTATTATGCATAAGTGTGGGTGGTGTTCAGGGGGATTTTATGATTATTTCCTGTCTAGTGCAGACAAATAGTTAAATTTAACCCTTTCAAGATCACAACTATGTCACGCACACTCTTGAAGTAGGGTGCGTTCATGACACATACCAGAGTGAAACACATGGCCATATTTATGTTTTTTAACCAATGCTGAGATTTTATAAGCTAATTAAGGGAGGGGTTTCTGATTAATTAGTGGGGCATATATGTTTAGTTATTTGTTCCTGGTTATTTATTGGTTTTCTTCCTAAATAGGTCAGTTATGGTGATGAAACATAATCGAGGCTGTGAGAGAGGACACCAGCTAAAATAATAGCTGTAATTTTAAACACCTTATCAGAAGAGCAGCTTAAAAGTCCAGTGAACCATTTTATGTCACAATACGCTGTTTGCACTTGATTTCTATCAGTGCCTGTATTTCTTTTTAACTTATGCCATAAAACTTTTTTGTCTATACATTTTTACTCTGTGAGCATTTTAGCCTCCTTACAGAGCATTTCAAGGCTTTAAGGTTGTTAACAGCATAACAAGAAAAAAGTTCTCCTTCGTCTTATCTGTCTTTCCACACCTGCACCTCCTGAGTGCTTTGTTGCATTTATTTTTTTATTTGGACATTGTGAGAGAGATGTATTTTTGGAAGTGCTGCAAATAGGGGAAGTATTGTTATGTATGATTTCAAGTTGAATTTTTTTTTTCAATTTCATTTGTATTGAGTTATAGATGATTCACATATTACAAGCATAGCTGGGGCAAAATGAGTTTGTATAATAACATTTCACAAGGAGTATGAATACCTCTTGTATTTAAGTAGAAATAAATGTTGAGTGTAACAAATCTGTGGGGAAAACATTGTATACAACATATTATATAACATAAGAGGTATGTGACAGGGTATTAAAAAATGAATATAGTCATTAACAACGAAACAATGCTTATGCTGCAGATGACACATTGAGGTAAAATATGAAAAACTATGCTGCAGTTGGAACCAGTAAGGATCCACCAGGTAGCTATAGTATAGTAATTAACATAACATAAGAGAAATAACTAAAAGCTAAAGAATTAAAAACTGGTATCTAAGCGGATTATCCAGCATTGGGCAGAATGCATTGGTATGTTAGCCTATGCCTAGTCAAATGAAGGTGTTACAATAATGCCAGAAAAGTCCAGTGAAGCAGGCACCACTGCACTCCCAAACCCCGCATCTCCAGCTCTTGACATGTGTAGGCGCCAGCACGCAACAAACCCACCACATCATGTGCGCATACCAATGTCCCAAGACATTTCCCTGTAGTAGAAAGCCCATCATAATGGTGTACAGGGATTGATCCTTTTGGTCCCCAACCCAAGAACAAATGCACTAGGAGTGACAAAATGGAATGGACTGCATGTCAGTCATGAGCCCTCTTATAAAGTGGCCTATGATTTGAAAGTTGGTCACACTTTAGTCCAGGGACTGATTAATTAGTAACTTTAAACAAGAGTTATTGACAACAGCCTATGTCCCAAGTGAGGTCTCGCTTTGCTGGAGCACGGGGAGATTACTTTAGGAAATTTTTCATGCAAGTAGTTCCTCCTAGTCCCTCGATTTGGTATTGTCTACAAACATGCAAAGCCTCCACTCCAATCTTTTTCCCCATTATTTCTTGGAATTTAGTAGACCTAAAATGGGGACATCAGACCCTAAAGCACTTTAGCTTGCTGAAAAGCTTCATGTGTTAAGAGTATGGACTCTTTTTAGTTTGCAGATTTCAATGGAAATTGAAACTTTTGTAAATCTGGTTACAACCGCTCGCTTTCAAGCAGACAGTAAGCCTTGTTGATTCCTGGTTTGGTTAGCTCAGTGGAACTAAACTCAAGAGGCAGCAATTAAAACCTGGGAGAGGTTAGTAAGTTAAGACTTGCAAAAATCTGCAGACAAGAGAATTGCAGGTTTTGCAAGCGGTTTTAACCCCATTGAAAAAATGCATAATAAAAATCATCCATGCCGTAATTTAATTTAATTAATTTTGTATTTGGGTAGTGGAGTGTCTAGTTAAAGATAAAATGGTAATTAATCACTTATGCAAGCTGTAATCTCATTTAGTCTTCTTACAAGAGACTTACTGGATCCTCTTTAGTCAATTTACTTTGAAAAATAAACTGATTGGCACTCTTAACCCCTTCAGGACCGGACTGTTTTTGCGATGTTTGTACGTTAAGGACCAGAGCTATTTTATCACTTTTGTGGTGTTTGTGTTTAGCTGTAATTTTCCGCTCTCTCATTTACTGTTCCAATACAAATTATATATTGGGGTTTTTCAGGACAAAAAGGGCTTTCTTTACATACTATTATTTTTATCATGTCATATAATTTAATTTAAAAATAATAATAAAATATGGTGAAAAATTTTAAAAAAAACTTTTTTTGACTTTTACTTAAAAAATCTTTTACTGGTCTACAAAATTGAATGAAACAAACTGCTAAATAGATTCAATTTTTTTTTGCTTTTATTTGCAAGTTATAGGGATATAAGTACAAGTATGAAATTGCTGTTTCAAAATGTACATTTTTCAAATGTATCAATAGTGACATTGTAACACTTATGTCATAAATCTCCAAAAACACCCCACATGTATATATTTTTCTTGAACTAGATAACCCAGGGTATTCATCTAAGAATATTTTGATACTTTCTATGCAGCCATTTTACCACAAACCTTTGCCAAACTTTGCAAAGGTAGTTAATTTTTTTTTACATACATTGCAATTCAGGTATAAATTCACAGATTCTGTTAGGTGTCACTGCCAAACAACACCCCAATTTGTGTTCAGCAACATCTCCCGAGTACAGGGATACCCCCCATGTATAGGTGTGTCAGGTTGTTGGGGGGCTAAAAGGTCACATTTGGCAGGTGCGCATTTCAGTTTCCCAGCTTGGAATTTTGACATGTAGTCAACCTGCATGCATGTCCTATTTGGGACATTTTTGAAGCCGGCCAATGTATTTTACCCCCATCAAACCATATATTTTTGAAAAGTAGACAGCCTAGGGTATTTCACATTGTGGTATTTTAACACTTTCCATGCACTAATTCTACCACCAGGCTTTGTCAAACATTGAGTTAGTAATTTTTTTTCTGTTTTTTTCCCACACACATTGTCCTTTAGGCATGAATTAACAGATCCTGTTATGTATCACTGCCAAACAACACCCCAATATGTGTTCAGCACGATCTCCTGAGTACAGTGATACCACCCATGCATAGGCCGGTCGGGTTCTTTGGGGGCTAAAAGGCCACGTTTAGCAGGTGCGCTTATCAGTTTCCCAACTTTGAATTTTGACATGTAATCAACCTGCGCCCACGTCCCGCTTGAGCCAATGTATTTTACCCCCATCAAACCATATATTTTTGAAAAGTAGACAACCCAGGGTATTGGTGGTATTTTAACACTTTTCATGCACTGAATTCTACCACCAGCCTTTGTCAAACTTTTGGGTAGTAATCTTTTTTTTGTTTCTTTGTCACACACATTGTACTTTAGGCATGAATTAACAGATCCTGTTATGTGTCACTGCCAAACAACACCCCAATATGTTCAGCAACATCTCCCGAGTACAGTGATACCCCCCATGTATAGGGTTGCTAAGTTGTTTGGGGGCCAAAAGGCAACAATCAGAACTTGTACATGTCAGTTTTTCAACTTGATATTTAGGTATGCTTGGTCTATCTTCAGTTTGACATATTTTTGCACCCCCCAGTTAATGTTACCATCATGACAGTATATATACTATATATTTTTATAAAGTAGACATCAATGGTTATAGAAGATGGGGTGTTTTGACACCTTTCCCCCAACCATGTTGCCCCCCAAAGAAAGTGTAGTGGTAATTTTTTAATTCTGTTTTTTATGCACACGTCATCTGGTTTTGGCCAGCTGGTTATGTGTTACTGCCAGAAAACTTGTTAGACCAAATGTGCAGGTAGCAAATGTACATTTAGCAGCAATCTTTAAACTGACTCATGCAAATAGAATCTAACTGGAGATTTGGGGGAAGGAAACTGACTAACAAAAAATGGCTGCTTTCCAAAGAAACAAAAAATAAAATAAAAATTCAGGAACACTTCTTACAACTGTTCTGTGTGGTACAGCTTGAAACATGTTCCTACACACAGTCCTGGTTTCGAAGGCCAATCAGGACAGTGAAAAGGGGTGTCTGTCCATTTCCCGTTTTTAAAAACAGACCCGGCAACGTTTCTGGGGGGGAGAGGGTTCCTAGCAGTTGGCGGTAACTTAAAAATAAAATGTCTGGACTCAGCTTGCACCATTGTTGGAACTTGTCCATCTCCATAAATTGTTAAAGAAATTATTTTCAACTGAAATTGGAAAAAGGTGGTTTTCCCTTGATTATTTTTTTTAAAAAGCAAAAATGAGTTGTGGGTTGCTATTTGCATCAAATAGACAGCCACCTTTTTATACCATGCTTTGGTTTTTCGTAAAATAAGATATGGCTGCATCAGCTTATCAGCCAAATCAACACCCACCCTGGAACTTATTATACGCCCTGATGCAAACCGGTTTGGACTCTACTCTGCCCTGGACAGAGACGTCTGACATGCGTTCATCATGGATGGTGGTTAGCATGTTGACATCCTTCCTGTCCCTAAATTTTAGTGCAAGCACTTCAGCTTTGCGAGGTGCTTTACATTCGCCTTTTTTAAAATTTTGCCTCTATGAGAGATCGTGGAAAGTCTTTGGATTTTTTTTTCGGCAGGCAAGTGTCTGTAAACCATAAAGTGTTTTAAACAGACGGACACTACTACAAAAAATATCCACATAAAGGTGGTAACCTTTTTTAAACAAGGGGGAGGAAGGGGTTAAAGGTTAACCTTTCTCCAGCGCCGGGCTTAATGCTTTCCTATGGACGCTGGAGTCTTCTCACTGTGAAAATCACAGTAAGAAGCACGGAAGCGCCTCTAGCGGCTGTCATTGAGACAGCCACTAGAGGCTGGATTAACCCTAATGTAAACATAGCCGTTTCTCTGAAACGGCTATGTTTATAGCAGTCAGGGCTAACCCTAGATGGACCTGGCACCCAGACCACTTCATTGAGATGAAGTGGTCTGGGTGCCTATAGTGGTCCTTTAATGTCGATAAGTGCAAGATAATGCATCTTGGACATAAAAACCAAAGGGCAGAGTACAGAATATTTGATATAGTCCTAACCTCAACATCTGAGGAAAGGGATTTAGGAGTAATTATTTCAGATGACAAACGTAGGCAGACAATGTAATAGAGCAGCAGGAAATGCTAGCAGAATGCTTGGTTGTATAGGGAGAGGGATGTGTTCATGTCATTGTACAGAACACTGGTGAGACCTCACTTGGAGTATTGTACTCAGTACAGGAGACCGTATCTCCAGAAGGATATTGATACTGCCATACATGCCCACCCCATCGCTAAGGGGATCACACTTCCTGCAGGTGCCATATAATAACGCTTCCAGCAAGGAGAGTAAAAAGGCCCTAGATAGGTCAAAAATAAATACAGAATGCTACCTGCCCCACAGTGTGTAGACAGGAAAAAAAAAAAGATCATAAGGAGGGTCGTATTTATTTATTATCTGTCCAATAGGAGCTGGGACATACCCATAGTGATGCTGCAATGGATATGGTTGGGAAAGTAATTAAGAAAAATGTATTTTATTTACACAGATTGAGATCTAAATAAGTTTATTGTAGTGTAAAGACAAATAATTGTATTATTGCTGTGGAGCTCTGTTGTACACTCAGACACCAACAATATGGAGCTGTTTACGAAAGTACCCACATCACCGGCTTTTGGAGGGGCCTGTTTGCCAGCCTCCTACCCTGTGACTATGGCCCCTGTGTTAAACCCTGGTTGAAAACACTGTTTGTGCCTTTTTGGACTGGTGCAGTTACACTTCGAACTCCTGAATGGTCAAAGTGGTTTGAATCGGCATTCAAACACGTGGCAGTGGCCAACTTAAGCCGCAAGTACAAGCTGTGTTTGGTCGTTGAGTTCACGGAACTCAAATTGGACACTCAACGGCACGAACACCGCTATTTACCTTCCATGGATGTTTGGCTATTCGAACGGCATTCGGTAAGAATAAACTCACGAACGAGAGACATAAACTGACTTTGCTCACTAACAGCTGCATTTGATATTATCAAAATAGACCGACCACACAGCCTGATTCTCTGGAACGGTTTTGGGCATGGGACCATGCGTGCAGTCGGTCAAATTGTGGCTTCCATAGAATTCATGAACCCCTGAACAGCACCAACCGAGACAAGACTACTGGATGATGGTCTACTACTGCTCTCTGGGGTCACCTTATGTCCCTTTATTGGTGTTATCGCTTCCATGCATTATTTACTCTAACATTTAATGCCTCACTTCCTCTAGTAAAGCCCTAGATACTCTCTGTCCACACCCACGTGGCATTACATTGAGAGCAGAAGCCATTTCTCTGGCTGGCTATAGCATGTGGCCGCATTATTCATCCTGGGTTTAGAACTCGGTGCTGCCAGCATTGCCTGGCTCTAGGCTTCCATCCCAGCCCCTCCCGCCCGCCTCCATGCTGCCAGTGTAGCGGCTATAGGCAGCGCTCTGTACCGCCATTGTTATTGGTTTTATCAACTCGGCGGGGGAAAAAAAAAAAAAGGTCAACAGAATGAGCTGGGAACTCATCTGACGTCACTTCCTGTTGTTCGCGTTTTGGCTCCGATAAGCCGTGCGAGATGTACAGAGGCTGTGGGGTCCTCGCTGGCTGCTGACAAGGCGTTCACACGATATCACGAGGAGCCAGGGACGGTGACAGCGTGTGAGCCAACCTGCGGCGGTAAGTGTCTCTCACCCAGTGCTGGCAGGCCGCTCGCATTGCCGAGCACTCCGGATATCTGGTCACGTGATCCGTGGCTCGCTTTATAAATGGCTGCTGCGGCTGTAACCATGGAAACCGTGGGGTGGGGGATCTAAAGGTGTGTTTACAATAAACAGTGTAATAAACCCCTCACTCTGATCTAAATTTGCCGCACGGACAGAGTGGGTTCATACGGTAACTTACCCAATGAAAGGTTACAGAGCTGAGAAACCTCAGGGTAACTGAGATCAATAGGATGTTCTAATCACCGCAAAAAATTAAACTTTATATACTAAATAGATATGTATATGCACCATAACTACTGCAGCAAGCTGTGGTGGTTATGGTGGCAGGAGTCCCCTGTCAAAATGATTAAAAATGGTTTGTCAAACAACCTGCAGCTGGCATGGCAAACTGACCATAACCACTACAGCTTGCTCTGAGCTGTATATATGACATGCATTTTCATTAATTAAAACTGTAAATAAGGTGATGGGGTCTGGATAGCTGCCTGATTTTTACACAGTGGTATTATAATCCACATCCATCCTCCCAACGCTGTAGTTACCTGGTGGCAATTTAGCCCCTACCTACTGGGAGAAAAAAAAAAGGTTTTTACTTACTCTCGCAGCACTGGCCTCAGCCATCAATGATCTCAGCCTATCCAATGCTTTCCCATGGAAAAGCATTTGGAGGCTACAGCATATGTGCGGCAATACACAGGGCTACACCAATCAGATGGTCTCTCTTGAGATGAAGTGGCCTGTGTGCCTGTAATGTCTCTTTTAATTTTAGCATTTCCAGACTGACTATTTTTCATCGGTACCTCTGAGGAGAACTCATCCTCCACATACATCTATGCGCAGGGCTTGACAAATTTGTTTGGAATCTAGGAGTCGGTTAAAAAAGTTAGTAGCCAGTTTAAAAAAAAAAAAAATGTGAAGTTTAAAGGGACACTAAAGTCACCAGAACAACTACAGCTTATTGAATTTGTTCTGGTGAGTAGAAGCATTACCTTCAGGCCTTTTGCTGTAAACACTGTCTTTTCAGAGAAAATCCAGTGTTTACATTACAGCCTAGTGATAACTTCACTGGCCACTCCTCAGAGATCCTTCCTGGGTCATGGCTGCCTAAAATGCATCCAAACATTCAGTATCTCCTCCCTCAGCATGCAGACACTGAACTTACCTCATAGAGATTCATTGATTCAATTCATCTCTATGAGGAGATGCTGATTGGCCAGGGCTGTGTTTGAATCATGCTGGCTCTACTCCTGATCTGCCTCCTTGTCAATCAATCCTATGGGGAAGCACTGTGATTGGATTAGGCTACAACTTCTGATGATGTCAGCAGGTAGTGAGCAGGTCTAAAGGAAACCAGGACAAAGCCTGTAGCTTCAGGCTTGAATACAAGTAAGATTTTACTATTTTTAGGAAGGCATGATGGGACACATGTTTGTGCTCCTAACCCTATAGTGCTCCTTTAATTTACAAGAAATATGCAATTCTTAAAGGGACACTATAGTCACCAGAACCACTACAGCTTAATGTAGTTGTTCTGGTGCCTATAGTCAGTCCCCGTAGCCTTTTCAACATAATGCTGCCTTTTCAGAGAAAAAGCAGTGTTAACATTCCTGCCTAGTAACACCTCTAGTGAGTCACTCAGACGGCCACTAGAGAGTCCTGTGTCACTGCTGCACAGTGTGCAGCACCTTTGTTCAGCATCTCCAACCTCTGCATGGATGTGTTGAATGTTACCCGTAGAGAACATATGTAATATCTTCTCAATGCTTTCCTATGTGAAAGCATTGACTTAGCTGAGATCTTAAAGATTATCTCAGCCATGAAGGCAGGACAAGCCGTGGGAAAGAAGGTGAATAAAAACACCTCTCTCATGATCGGAGGGGTGCAGGTACCTAAACACACGCACACTGACAGAGAGATACACACACACACAAATTGACATTTTACTTTTAATCCACCAAGCCTCCCTATCTTTGGGAGACCTGAGTGGATCTTTCCCTGAGGTCCAGTGGAGCTGCTCTTCCTATGTGCGGGGGAGCAGTACTCTACCTGTAGCTTCTCTCTGCTCCCTGTAGTGATGCTGGGGCCGGAATGACATCATATTCTGGCTCCCGGCATCACTGAACAGCGTGAGGGAGCAACAAGGAGCTACAGGTAGATTACCATTGTTCCCCCATCCTACCTTTAGCTAAAGGGCTTCAAATCCCGGGCGCCAGGGTAACATTTCTAGTCGCCATGGCGACCTTGCGCCTGGGACTTGTCCAGCCCTGATCTTTAGCTTCATTATTTCATGCTCACCAGAGAACCCACAAAACTGCTCAAGATGGTGGCTCTGACTCTGGATAGAGGCCAATCCAAGTCTGTTCTGGCCCCTATTGGTGATTAGTTGGTATTACATTAAGAGTAAATAGCATTTATAGGTTAATTACTTGAATTTGGAAATTGGCTTGATGGGACTGACTATGGTTTGGTATCAGACAGATTCTGTAGAAAGAGTGACTTTTCTGCCTGTTGTAGCCTTTTTATGGTCAACAATTACAGGAGTGTGTATGTTGCCATATTTTGCTTGTGTTATTTATGGGTGCTGCAGTTTGTAGAATTGTACTTGTTGGCTGTTATATTAGATACATTCTTGAGTAGTTTGTGTTATTGTGTATGATACCTATGAATGAGGGCTGTGTATGGGGTCTGATTGTGTAATTGTGTGTGTGTGGTAGATAAATCACATTGTGTGTATGTGTCGTGCTTTGTATGCTAGAGGCTGCTTGTGTGGCCTGTGTTTGTGTGTGGGCGGTTTCTTCTACAGCTCTGTGCATATTTAGCGTGGGTGGCTTCACTGGGATCCAGTGGGGACCGGACTGGCCAGATACAGGTCAAGAGCAGAATTGTGATGCTACTGCTGGCTGCTCTTCTCTAGTGCGAATTCCTGTTCACAAGTACTGGGATGAAGTGATCTGCACCTCACCTCACCGCTCAGTTTGCACTAAAACTCCTGATAGGCCAGAGCTTGTTTGGCTTTGGTAGCCTTGTGTGCCATGCATGACGCACGTGCCATAGGTTTTTGACCCCTGCTCTAGGGACTCTGCCCCTTCACTAGCTCTGTTCTGCCTCATTTGCTAATCTGGCCTCAGAAGCTGATGTGACCTCTCTCCTAACAAAAATCACTGAAGCATTAGTTATAGCCCTTAATATTGTTTGCACCTCCCAGCTTTTTTTTTTTTTTTTATAGTTTTACTCTCCTAGAAGCAGTGGTCGAAGATATGTGTAACTGGTTATGGAGAATTAACCTCCCAATATATGGCCTACCGGAAACTCTATATACTTAGTACCTTTTATGCACCATTATAGAACCTATCAAGGTCTAGGCCTTATGTATCCCCAAGAACAACTTGCTTGCTAAGTGTATTACCTTAAGCTGTTAGCACTTATCCTAGAGATGTAGTTCTCTGATTTCATTTCTCAATTCCAGGACTATGAGTTGCATATTTTCATGAGCTTTCTCCCTCCACTCTCCAGAGGAGGTAAAAATTAAAGCTTCTTGCCAGGGGGTATAGGAACAGGCTGGAGTGAGGTCACTCCATTCAGGTGCGGGCACACTGTCAATGAAGCCGGTATGTTGGTGTTACTGAGGAGGTTTGCACTGCTTGTGGAAGTGTCCTCAAGCAGGGCAAATCAGCGATCGTCAGAGGAGAAGGAGCAGGAGCTAATGTGATTGTGATGGGGGAGCGGAGGCCAAGGTAAGTGGCTGCAGGTTCCTTTTTAAGTCAGATTTCATTAGAGTTAATGTTATAGTACTAACTGCTTGAATATCCCTATAAGAAAAGGTATATCTGTTATTTATAAAACAAGATGATTGAGTATGATTAGTGGCGGCCTGTAAAGTAGACACTATATTTCCATACTACAAATACCCAGCATTCTACAGTGTAGTTGTAATGCTCCAATAATAGCATTCCTCTTCCCAAAATGCCAACACTTCATCCTCCATTTGCCACACTCAGTTACTGCACTTCTCCTCCAAACACAACACAGACAAAATTAACTTTGAACCCTACCTGGTAATTCTGGGATTGGGAATGGCATTTACCAAATCTGATGCTCCGAACAAATATTGTTCTGAAAAAGGGAACTAAAATACATATATTTTATTTTCTGACGCATGTCTGAAATGGGCCTTCTGGCTCAAATTATACCAGTTTTGGACCGGAATATTGACACTCTTTCAGATATACTTTGTATGGCTCAATCAAACACTCAGTTATGTTTTTACCCTTGGATAGATCGGTGTTTCCATTAAGACATGGTAGTATTTTACACCTTTAGTTTTGCAATGCTAATCATTTATCCTTTGCTTAGTTTAATAATTATAAATTTTACTTTTGTAGAAAGATCTCTCTGTTGGTTACCTCTGAACTGTGAATATGGCTGCTCCCTGTCCTCCACCTTCTCCAGCTGTCGCCAAGACTCTGGTAACCACCAGTGGATACTCTCCTGTGTTGGCTGCTACCTTTGCCTACTGGGACAACATACTTGGACCTCGAGTGAGGCAAATCTGGGCTCCTAAGACTGATGAAGTTGTTCTGAGTGATGGGGAGATTACATTTCTGGCGAACCACACTCTGAATGGCGAAATCCTGCGTAGTGCAGAGAGTGGAGCCATCGATGTAAAATTTTTTGTCTTGGCAGAGAAAGGAGTGATCATTGTGTCACTGATATTTGATGGAAAACGGAATGGTGATCGCAGCACATATGGCCTTTCCATTATTCTACCACAAACAGAGCTGTGCTTTTACCTGCCTCTACACAATGTCTGTGTAGCTCGTCTTACCCATTCCATAAGAAAAGGACGTATACTGATGCACAAAGTATGAACCCTCTCTAGCTAAGTAAATTGTAATGCTTTGTAAATTTTTATTGTTTATGAATTACGCTTTTTATGTAAAATAACGGTTGTATGTTTCTTAGATTTATATATTTATACATTGTCCTAGTATCTAGTAGCCAGGGTGAAAATTTAGTATTGAACTTTAATTTTCAGTACATTTATGATTAGGGTTTGCATTTTATTTAGCTTTAGACTTTATTTTTAGCCCTAACCATATAATGTAAAACCTTCCTATCCTTCTCCTTTTTCATTACTCTCTCCATTCCTGCTTGTCCCCTCGATTAACATTCAGTTATTCTCCTTTTACCTATCACTCTACCAGGCTATATGAGTATGACAGTTTTCCTGGTGTCTAGAGGAAAACTATAGACTGAAGGGATAGTTTAATATGCCTACCTTCCCTTGCATCTCTCTGCAATCTGCAAAGTCCACTTAAGTTGACAGAGCCACTTTATACTTGCTATATTTTTGCATAGTTTAGTCAAGTATTAACATGGCACTTGTGGTTTATTAGGAAGCTATTCATTAGCATTTACAGCATCCGTTTTGAGAGATTGGAATGATTTGAAGCAGCCTTTATAAGTCTCTTTTGTCTTTTAAAATCTTAATGGGTTCCCACTCCTTTTGTATGATCAACACATATGCAAATCTTGAACATGCCAGGTACGTTCCCTCATGAGTACTAAAAAAGAGGAAGTATAACTTAGTAAAGCACTAATAGTAATAATAAAATATATATATATATATATATCTCTTGAGAATTTCCTTATTTGTCATATTTTGTTCTGTTATTTAATGTAAATTATTGATTGATTGCACTATACTGAACCTTTTTTTAAATTTGTGTTTAGTCATCAGATGGAGTTTTGACATTTCCATTTTACCTATCTTGTGCAGGGCCAAAACATAATTCACATGTTGACAGGAGAAGTTGTCCCTATAATGGAGCTCCTTTCATCTATGAAGTCACATGGTGTTCCTGAAGACATAGATGTAAGTGCTTTAAAATCTCAACATGAGTCTTAAAATCCCTAATATGTTGCTTGCTGCTGTCACAGCTTTCTTCACAGTGCTTTAATGCATACCATTACTCTTCTCTTTTTTCCCTTAATATGTGAACACTTTCAATATAAAGTAATATATGTGTTCTGATTGATTCATGCATGTATTAGTAAATATTATTTGTAAGCATTACAGCCACCAGGCAATAAGTGTAAGCGCTTGGGATCTGTAAATGCAAAATAAAGGTGGAAAGCACTACAAGTGCTGGGATACAAGGAGACCAAGATAAACCGGAATACTTTCAAAGAGGTAAAAAAACGTGACAGCCACTAGAGGAACTTCTGGAATGAAAACGGTCCATTATCTGACGCTGGACATCCTCACGCTCTGCATAAGGACCTCCAGCGTCTGATTTTTTAATTTTATTATTATTTATTTATTTCCTAGGAAAGGATTGATTAAGGCTTTCCTATTGGGAAATCCTAATACGAGCGCAGCCATTGCCATGCATGCCCTCTAGGTCTCCCCCGCCAGCTGATGTCGGCAGGGAAGGAGTGTGTGCAGAGCCTGACCCAAGGCCAAGGGACATCGGAGCTGGATTAAGGTAAGTGACTGGAGGGGTTTTAACCCCTTCAGCCATGAGAGAGGGGGCACTGCAGGAGCCTATAGTGCCAGGAAAATGGCTTTGTTTTCCTGGCACTATAAAATCCCTTTAAGCCAAAATAGACTAATTAGAAACATTATCTAGTTAAAAAAAACTATATATATATATTTTTTTTATTTTTTTTTTATTTTTTTTTTATTTTTTTTTAGCGTGACGGTTTTTAGAATAAAAATATGTAATTCCAGTTCCAATTCTCCAAAATTTGCTGTTAAAATAAAGGACTGGAATAAAGTCCATTGTGTTTGAAATAGCCATGAAGAGCAATACTTTTCTAGACATTCGTCAGGTTTAACTAAGAGACAAGTTTTATCAGCATCATTAATTGCATATTATTGTCTAACTCCTGAATCCCGGGTTATTGTTGATCATCTGTTTGTTTCAATGGAAATTGGCACTTTTCTAAACTAATCTTGTTACACCCTCTGACTGTCAATCAGGAACCAGTCCTGTTTCTTCCTGGTTTGTTGGGGCTAAACTTAAAGGGACACTGTAGGCTCCCAGACCACTTCAGCTCGCTGAAGTGGTCTGGGTGCGGTGTCCCTTTTGCACTTCGTTCTGCCATGTAAAACATTGCAGCTCCAGAGAACTGCAATGTTTACATTGCAGCTCTAAGTCTGCTCTCAGTGGCTGTCTACCAGACATCCAATAGATGGCTTCCAGAATCGAAACAGACCTTTTGCTCTTCATGAGGACCTACAGCTTCAAATCTTTTCCCTTAGGAAAGCATTAATGAATGCTTTCCTATGGGGAAATCCTAATGCGAGCGCGACCATTGCCTGCTGACATCAGTGGGGGAGGAGCGTGGGCGGAGCCTGACCCGGCGCTGGATTCAGGTAAGTGACTGAAGGGGTTTTCCTGGCACTATAGGATTCCTTTAAGTGGCAGCAATTGCCCAGAAGACCTGCCTTGCAAAGACTTCTCATTGAGCTGCATTGGGAAATCTGTGATGGGACAACCACTGAAAGTCTGGGCTGGGTTGAAAGAACAAGAACTGCAGACAAGACATCTGTAGCCTGTGCAAGCTGTTTTTACATAAATAAATAAAAGGCATAATTAAATGTTCATAGGGGGCATATCTACTACATGTTGATATTTAATGTGGATGGGGGGGGTGTCTCTTTAAAGCCCAGACCTTCTAGGATGTAATTGCACATTCTAGCTTTGTTAAAGGAGTAATCTAGATTGAGCTAGCACACACACACACAAAAATGAAAATACATGATTGAAGCATGTTTGTGATAGTGCATTGTTGTATTTGTTTACTTTGTCATACTAGAGAAATGAACTGACCTACAGATATGAGACTATTCTCACTATGTTGTCTATTGAATTCTACAGATAACATCCACTGTGCTTAATGATGATGACATTGGTGACAGCTGCCATAAGGACTTTCTCAGCAAGTAAGTTCCCCCTTTTTTTTGGAAGTGGCTATTGTGTATTTTGGTTATTTCATTCTTGTGATAACATGTTAAGATGCATGCATATATATCCTCGACAGTCATGTTGCTGTTTTCCCAAAGTGATTTTCTCTGTGTCTACCCACCTATACTACAGCTTTCTCTAGAGAAAAAAAAAGCATTAGAGTAAACTACAATACTAATTATATTTTTTTTTTGTCTTGAAAACATACCTGATAGATTTAATGCTCATTACTGTCATACATACATACATAAATAATACCTTTTTAGTAGAGATAATTTGACCCTAGTTGCTTTGAAATTCTATATATTGGTCCTAAATAAATGACTAGGCAAGTTATTTCACAAAAAAACACAAGGAGATAGGGAAGTGCTTTGAGAGAAAAGTGGTACACCATTGACAGAAAACCAAAAATGGGTGAGGGACCCTCCATCCCCACCAGTATACAGAAACTGAGAAAAATTAGGTACAGCTACCACCTTGTTATATTTTTTTTTAGGCAAGCTACAAAGAAGAACATTGAAGTCTCTTAACTTTTTAGATTTTTGGTCACACGCCATATTTCAATAGAAGACTCTGGGTCATCATTGTGTACATGAATAATCACTATAGTTGTTGTTGTTCAATATGAAATGTTGTTTCATATAATTATTTGAGAACTTAAAGGAAAGGCTGTCATCTTCTGTGTTCACTAAGCATTTGTTATAGTTCAATGATTTGGTGTTGGTTTTTTATGTATAATTTGTAAACATCTCTAAAATTTAAATTTGTGTTGTGGTATTCTTAAAGAGTACCTGTCATGCCCAAAACTACTTTTGCTCTTTTTAAGGATCATCAAATTCTATCTATACATTGTGCTAACAGTTTTTCTAGCAAATGTATAGACTAGAAGGAAAATAAATATTTAAAAGTACGTATTTCTCCCACCTGTCATCATTTCTTTAGCATAGACTGTATGCCGAGGAATTGATTGATTAAAAAAAAGAGCACCCACAGCATGTCAGCATCTTGAAGGGGTATTGCTGTGCTTGAGGAAATGTCCCGAAGCAGTGCATACCAGTGAAAAGACGAGGCTGAGCACAGGCAGACCGGAGGTAGGTGTTAGAGAAGAGGTAGTGTAACACCAACCACGGCAAAGAAGTAGAGGGCCAGCTAAGTTGTGACAGGTTCCCTTTAAAGTTTCAAAAGTGGTTCAGTGGGTGTAAATAGGTTTGCAAAAAACAAAAGGGTTATTAAATGTAAAGTGATCAGTGACAAAATGGTGAACAGGACAAAACAAAAAAAGTGTCTCAGAAGGTAGTGATTTGTCAGTAGATCTGTTATTTTAAATTCACATAGCATAAATTTATTCTGTACAGTAATATGCCCATACACACACTGCTTGTCATTTTCCTGAATGGTCATCAAATTTTGAATGTTTGCAAATTGTGCCTGCAGTTTAGAGGTGGTCATCAGAAGTCTAGTAGATCCCAAGGTAAAGGATAGTTCTACCAAAACCAAAGGGATACATTATCACTAAGGATCACTAACTGAGCTTTACTATATGTAACAGTTTAACTAGAGCACACTAGCGCAAATTATGATACATACCTTGAAAAATAATTGTAGATTTCATAGTCTCTACTCTGTTTACTAAAGTCTTTCTGCTTCTAGAGAATATAATTGCAAATATTGCATTTGTTCTTCTACCAGGTCCAAACTAAACTCTTATTTGCAAGTGATCCAAATTTCCTGCTTTTCATAAATGTTTACTTTTGTATTTCTTATTGTTCCCTATGCCCTTAATTCATAGTTCCTGGAAGTCTTGTACAACACATATTTTAGGAACTGAGCAATGCCTAATTATATATTTTTAAAAGCAGCTAAAAGTAGAAGTGATCCCATGAACCTGTGAATGTCCCATATAATTTTCTGTCTGTCTGTCTTTTTTTTTTATCCTGAAATTCTCCTGCATGTTTTGCACTGTTGTAGCTTTTTTGATGTCCCTCTGTGTATTATGAGGCTTACACAGCATGAATAGTGGTCCTTGAAAGCTCCACACAGCATGACTGATTTTCTAAAACTACAATCTTGGAACGTTCAATCAAAATTATATGTTTGCACTTTAGGGTTGGTGGGCACAGCTGGCACCAAAAAGTTTAGTTTATTCTCTTGTAAAGTAACAAGCACTCTGAAAAGTGTTTGTTTATAATGCAGCTGAAGTTGTTCTAATTCTAGTTGGAATTAATAAATATATAGATGTATATTTGTTACAAACTGAAATGTTTACTGAAATAAATATTTAGTTGTTTTGGTTTTTTGTTTTTGTTTTAAATTTGTGTGTATTATTTATTTATATATATATATATATATATATATATATATATATATAAAACAAACAAATAGAAAACCTCTTGCACTCCAACTTTAAATATATTGAATACCTGGTGCCAAGTCCCAAATAATATAAAATATGAAAAAATACCGGCACTCTAGGCTTAGTTCATACGTTTTCATTCTCAGTTGATCCAAAAGATGTCAACGTTTCAGCTCCCGATCGGAGCTTTCATCAAGACACAATATAAGATACACACAAAATGACTAACATATGTAAGACATACTAACCAATGGTCACTCACCTAATCAGCTGTAATCTAGCAACCCTGATAACTGGCGTATATTCATCGCTAGTCTGCACGTCTGACTTCCATGACACACCTCCCGCACTAGGGAACAGCTCCTGCCAATCGACTGTAACGGCCACGTCACAGTTCTAAGGCAGCCAATCCTCGGCCGCCCCTGTGGTTACGGAAGCTGCAAGGAGAAAAATTCCTATTTCGGCGATTGGCCCGCCCTTTCCATGACGCAGGTTTGTTTGGAGTTGTCATGGCAACGAATTCAGACCAGACCTTTGAGGGTATTGAAATGAGTCCATATATGTATAACTCATTTCACAGTTAACCCTGTATGTTATTTCTGAAACATTAAAAATAAAGCCTTCAAAAATTGAGGGGTGAGAAGGAAATACGAACGTATTTCTTAAAGTGGTGAATTATATATTATAGTGCTAGATAGGGGAGTTGATACTGTACGGACTTTTGGATCAACTGGATGAACTAAGCCTAGAGTGCCGGTATTTTTTCATATTTTATTTATATATATATATATATATATATAATACAGTGAATAACTTGGCACTCTCCCCTTCGGTATACACCATATATCTGCCTAGGTGCAATCCCCAATGCGTCCAAAATATAGCCAAAAAAGAGATTTCCAGGATGCACTCACAGGCCTTTTTCAATCGAAAAAAATGTGATTTTATTTAATCATGTGCAGGTAAACAACCTTAGGTTGTTTACCTGCACATGATTAAATAAAATCTCATTTTCTCTTTTTTGATATTGATATATATATATATATATATATATATATATATATATATATAATATATTATACACACACACATATTTTCATTTAACTGTAATATATGGACATTATGCATAATAATTAGCCTTGTTTATTTATGTTTTTGTCACACCCACAGTATGTAAGAAAAAAAAAAATTTTTTAGTCACAAAAAGTGTTTGATAGTTAAAATTGCACCTCAGTTATCACTTTTAAATGGCTTCTGTCATGACCAATGCAACAATCTTAAAGGGATACAACAACCACAAGGGCTATGTAGGTAGGAGTCTGTAATGTGCAGTGTTTTTTGCTTGAAAAACAGAGTATTTGAAAACTCTTGGAACAGACCGAAGCGTACAGAAACTCACTAGCTTCCCTTCGATAAATCCCTGCTCAAGTCTCAAAATAGCTTTGCTCACTTATGCCATTAAAGAGTGCACCTATTCCATTCCATATCTGACTGATCCCACCCACAATGGCAGTCCAGAACCAAAATGTCAAGTTCTGTCTGCACAAGAGCAACAGTTACCCCGGATAATCATTACTGTCTTCTTTGAGCCTCGTCAGCAAGGTGTAGCTGATGCCCCTCTTTGCTATACCTCACTAACGATGCTCAACAATGTCAAAACGACTATCTGGGGCTGCTGTATCTCTCATGCAGAGAGAGCCGGCCTGCATTTTGGATCTGGACTGCCATTTTGGATGAGATCAGTCTGATATGCAAATGGCCTTTTTTGTAATGGCACAAGATGAACTAAAAACAGCTTGAGATCTGACCAGGGAGCCACCAAAGGGCAGGATACTTGAGCTATCCATTCTCATTATTCTCTTGCACCTTGTTTATTGCTCTCCCCTAGTGTTTCTGATTGATACAGAGATATTTGCACTTTTGTGGCAGGGACTAGTTTCGTCCCTGGCACGTGTGACTTTAGCAGACCAAAAGTCTGTTCTTGGCTGCCAAATGTCAACTCTGTGCAAAACTTACATCTGTTTTCAGCACACTGTATTGACCTTCTCCTGCAAGGAGGAGTGTGAATGTCCCCTTGTTTCCTCCCTTCTAGACTGCAGCTCTCTCCCCACCCTATAAGCTTGATAATTTAAGTATTTTTTTAATTTTATTTTTACTTTTCCCACCTCCCTCCCTCTCTGGCTCCCAATCCCTCTTTCTCTCCTCTCGTCATCTCAAAGCACCCCTAAGTGCTCTTAGCTGGCTAAACGACCCAATCAAAGGCTTCTCTGTAAGAAGCCTTTGAGGTGACCTCGCACAGCTTCCATAATGTCCGGAGGGTTTGGGGGAAATTAGCACCTGGAGTTTTACCCAGCGCTGGATTTCAGATAGGTAATACCTGTATGTTAAACTTATTTCACCTTTTAGAGCTATTGCTCAAGAATAATGGCCTCTTTAGCCCTTTAGATAAAGGAGTATCAAATTTCATCTAAACAGTGTTGTATTCCATCTATGCAATTGCTTTCAAGTGTTTTAGATTTCTCTAAAATCTAAAACAAACAGCCCTATCCTCCCACCTCTCAGTCAGTTCAGTCAAACAGATATAAGAGGCTGTGCTCTGCATGTCTCTTATCAGAAACACCCTCTTCTGGGTGTCTGTCAATCTTTTATTCAGTCGAAAGGAAATAAATGCCTGAAAGGATAGGTAGGAAGGAAGGATAGGCTTGGTGTGAAAGCAGCACCAGTAGGAGCAGGAGAGAGAAACATAATTATTTATTGTAGCACCTTTGGACAGGTTCTGAGAATGGAGAAAGAGCATAGATACTTTTTATTTACATCCCATAAAGAAAACAATAAAGTGTTGGGGACTTTTAACCTGTTATAGGAAGAAAGTCAGTGCTTTGCACACAGGGATATGCAGGAGAGGTGTATCTTGCAGCATGTGTGTTGCTACTCTAAAGTATTTAATTTTCCTTTCTACACAGTGCTATCAGCTCACACTTACAGACCTGTGGATGCTCCGTGGTGATGGGTAGCAGCGCTGAGAAAATTAACAAGGTAAAGAATCTGAATGTATATAGTTTTAGCCATAGGCTTTTGCTTTTTATTATATTCTTTATTTTGGTGTGCACAAAAATAATAATACGCCTTAGTGTGCCACAACAGCGACTTCAAGGTACATCAATGAACATTTGCATTACATCTTGTGGCAGTCGAATGTCAGGCACATTTTTTGTTGTTGAAGATAACAAAACTGAAACGGTTTAGGTTCATGGGTAGCTTAAACATTTGAGAGTTCAGTGCAATTTTAAAGTATAAACACATTTAGCTCAGTAGCTTAAAATGAGTATATATGTTGGGTGTCATCGCTTCAGTTTCTCGACATTGGTAAAGGTATGTTTAACTATGCTTATGAGAGGGACATGCATATTGTACAGTGATTTCTGGTCTAAATAGCCATAACATACAGTAGGTGAAGCCACAGGTATACATTCCAAGTTCTGTTAGAATAATGCTCGAATAGAGAAATGCAGATCTACTTGTTTCTCCTGCGCTTTGCTAGGTGTCAGCGTTGCCTGCATATGCTGAGCTATAGTACCTTTCTGTGTGGGTGTTGGGTCGCTATCTAGTTAGGCGGTTGCTCAGGTATATGCAGTTATATGGGACCATAAGTATAATGCATGCTTCTAAGATACTAGTACCAGAAAGGAAAAGTACCACAGGATTTACCAGACAGTGAGGTTAGACAGCATAAAATAAGTTGGTGATAGGCTATCTGGGAGCATAACTGGCATGAATTGTAAGACAGTATATGATTTTACTAAAGTATTATGAGAATGCTAAGCTGTCAGACAGTTAAAGACCATTAAACAAATAGACGGACAGGCATTAAAGATTACTGTAAAGTTCTCTTGTTGTTATAAGATCAGGGAACACTTTGTTCTGTCGCCGTAGATAGAGTAGATAAAGTCCTCTGTTGTCTGTGCTTAAACATATCCGCAGTGTAGGTGAGGTCAAGAACTGTCCCAGAGTGAACCTGGGTAGGTGGTGGCCTCTTGTTGCCTGTTTAAGATAGTCAGCTAGCCAGTTTTGGATCTTCAGCGTCTGTAGTCCTATCGCAGGGATCCACTGTGCCCACTGTGGTTGCTTGATTCGACCTGGGTGGTTGCTGACTGTTTGGTACGTTATTGGCTCTACGGTTTTTGCTCTGGTGCATGGTTCCCTCTCGTGCGTTTCTGTGAGCGCGAGAGTTCCCTTTGCAGCGCCTTCTCAGTGCTCTCTGCGGTCGGGGTGCGGCATGGCAACATTCAGGTATAGTGAATGCCCCCATTTGCAGTGTCCATAAGCTTTACTGCTCTGTAAATAGTAGGTGCTTTTCTCATTAGCTGCGTTTGATTCCTCACTTTTGAGCAAGCTTCGGCTCGGTCCCTCTGGCAGCTCATGCACATGGCGGCGGCCATCTTGTGGACTGGCGCCCGGGTGATGTTCCCCGCTAGAGCGGCTGATTGAACCCAGGTTGGGTGCCACCAGTCAGGAGAGCGGCCATCCTAGCTCAAGCCCCAGCGAGCTCCGAGCCCAGCCGAGTTACTGTCAGTGCTGGACAGGTTCCCATGCGATATCCCCGCTCTCCCCAGTAACTGGGGGTCTGTGTGGACGTCAGTGGGGTTGCCGGTCGCGGTTATCCTTCAATTTGCTCCGGTATTTGGACCTCGGAGCAGGAGCTCAGGCAGAACGTTTCTGATCCCGTTGGCGGTCAGGCCCCGCCCCCTGACTTTTTTAGTTAAATGTATTCTGAAATATTAGATTATAATATCACTGATTTATAACTGTGCTTAGTTTACATATATATAAATGTGTTAAGATTCAATCAGATGTCAAATGTATGTTAAAAATAATTTTAAAGTTTTTTTTCACCTGTGAATCTAATCTATGAGTATAATTGTTAACTGTTGTGAGAGAAATCAGAAATAAGGCTGAAGATCACATAAAATTTTTTTATACTTTATCAGTAATCTCTTTGCTGAGTCACTGTCACATATTCATCCGCTTATAGAAATGTGGTTAATGACATTTACTGTCCATACAGGAAAAGTTGTGCCGAGCAGCAACCTAATCCACAGAAGGGTTAATGCTGAGCAGTAATTGTGCAAATGAAACCTGGTGTTACGTATTCATCCGCTTATAGAAATGTGGTTAATGACATTTACTGTCCACACAGGAAAAGTTGTGCCGAGCAGCAACCTAATCCACAAAAGGGTTAATGCTGAGCAGCAATTATGCAAATGAAACCTGGTAACTGACTTTGGGGTCAAAGGCCGGTTACAGCCTATCAGAACTAAAGGAGGGGTATTTAGGCCCAGTTCTCAGCCTGCTCAGTGCCCTGTCGTGGTTTCCCTTGTGGTTGTCTGAGAGCGCGTTCCTGTTTATAGTTTTCTACCTGGTTTTTGACTTTGGCTTTGTTTATTGACTTCTCTATATTCTGGTATCCTGACTCCTGGCTTTCCTCATCGCTGTGTCCCTTTCTGTGTTCCCTGACCTCGGCTAGTATTTTTGACTATTCTTTGTACGTTAAATCCGGCCATTCTAAGGACCGGTAATACGTTACTTATTTGTCATCCGTGCTGTACAGTTCTACGTGCTGGATCAAACAGTAATCCTGACAGTCACCGCAACAAGAATATCTAATTCCTCATGATATACTGTTTGCAGATGAGGTTTGACTAGATAGTATTCTGGATAAGCACTTACTATACTACCAAAGCAACTTTACTATAAACACCAAAGCAACTTTAGCTTAATGAAGCAGTTTTGCCCCTCAGCCCAGGGCTAGGTCATGGATACATAGGTCTAGAGAAATCGAGATCTAACCTTTAGATATTGTAGAGCAACCCCTATAGACTAATATCTATTAAAACATAACTTTTAATACAACTTAACTAAAAGTGCTATATAAACATGCTCAGTAGAAGGGGAGAGGGGATTTAGCAGTAGAAGGTACTAATTTGAAGTGGTTATAGTTAGAGATGTCGCGAACCGTCCGCGAACTTCTCGCTGACACATCCCGGCCAATCTCCAGCAGACCCTCCCTCCCAGACCCTCCTACTTCCTGGACAGCATCCATGTTGAAGGCAGCTTCAACATGGATGCTGTCCAGGAGGTGAGAGGGTCTGGGAGGGAGGGTCTGCTGGAGATTGGCCGGGATGTGTCAGCTGACCGGACCTTTCGAGGCGAACCGTTCGCGAGAAGTTCGCAGACGGTTCGCGACATCTCTAGTTAAAGTACCTACGGCATGGGTGGTAATAATAGAGTAGTCTTAAAGTCCAAACAACCAAATGGTGAAAGTTAAATTGACATGTCTCCAACTCCCATCACCCAGTAAGTAAAAACAATAGTAAGGTGGCTAGTCTGGGAGAGTAAAAAGCTGCAGCATCGTCTCATATCAACCCCTGCCACCCACTGCTCTCAATTCCCCAACGCGCGTTTCGCTGAGTACCGGCTCTTCCAAGGGAACCGGGTAAGCGTAAACTGGTAATTTAAATATCCCGCCCTCCATGCCGATTGGATCGTGATTCCACCAACCGGATTGGAGGGCTAAAAGATGACGTCCTTATTCACAAGTTAACTCTTTGTGAACCGTGTAGAAGGTCAAAAGACAATAATAAATAATTGATAACTTGATAACCTAATTGTGAATTGGATAAGTTTCACACCAAGCCGAAGTTATACATAACGTTAGATTAAGTCCCTTCTGTATGTTAAATGTCAATAAGTGCCAAGTAGAATTAACATTCGGTCTCAGAGTCATAAATACACCAATACTTATATACAGTCTCTTGTAGCAAGAATTTGCTACTGTAGCTGTTCATTCAATATGTTAACAGTCAACAGTAGCTGTAATTATTCCTGTCAAATGATTTTTAAGTCCTCATATTGAGGTTTACCCAGCCGGAGAAAGATGAGGTTAGACAGTAACAATCATAAATTGATGGTAGTTGTTAATATCAAATTTTATCTAGATCATAATTTTCAAGTTTCCCAGTGAAAAACTAATCACAATAATAAGGCTTCACATTAGTAATCAATGTATGTAACTTGAAACCTTTTTAAAAACGAGAGAAAAGTCAAAAGGACCCCCATGATATATTGGTGAGGGGGTGATTTTTTCATTTGACTATAGTCACATTCTAAATTTTAATTAAAGCCATATTTACAGATGGAATAATGAAAATGATTATACATGGATAATATAAGAGGTAAAGTTGATAAACCTCATTTTTAGTCAATATAATCCACTGGGTAGATGGTAACCAATGTAGAAATTAAATAATTTAGTATAAGGTAATGTTATAAACCATAACCACTTGTTTTAGATTTTATTAATAAAGCATCTTCTGAGAGATATTTAGTAATGTAATCTCTAGTGATATTGAACACTATAATTCTATATGTGCATGTTGTTCAAAAGTATATATATCTGGGATTAGCCTTGTAAGATAATTACCTCAGAGGGATCTTGCTATCTCCTATTAGTGCCTTTGGATACACAAGTCCTTTTCCAGGAAGGGGAAAGAGTATCTGTGTGTTGCCCAGTGCCATGGGCTATAGCCACAGCAAGTGTCCATACCTCTTGTTCTGAGTAGCTCCTTGGACATCTATTTATGAGTGAATACATTGAGTAAAGTTAAATTCCTCGTTGAGTCCTTTAGGGTATATTGTTTTAAATTGATAAATCCAACGTGATTCAGCCTTAAGTAGTGATAAATTTATATCTCCTTTCCGATGGTTTTGAAATATTTGTTGGATCACTTGGAATTTAAGTACACTGGGTTTAGATGCATGGTTTTGTCTTGCATATCTAGCCACTGGGGTGTCAACATGTAAATTAGTGATGGAATTGATATGTTATAAGACTCTGCAACGTAGTTGTTGGTAGGTTTTACCAATATATTGTAAACCGCACTCATGTTATGAGGTAGATAACATAATCTCCTTTGATGTTCTCTTGTTCAAAACTGGTTTGGTTGGTAGAATAAAGTCACAATCTTTACAATGACCACACTTGAAGAGACCTTTTGTGGCCTGAAGCCATGTGGGTGCTGTTTGTGCCGGTTTCAAGTGGCTATGGGTTAGATGATCCTCCAGGTTTCTTGCTCTTTTATAGGTCATTGATGGCTGGCTGGTAATAATAGTGTTTTTAAGGCATGAATCATATTGTAAAACTGGCCAGTTCTTATTAAAAACCTGTTGTGCCAAGTCCCAGAGATTGTCATACGTGCCTATAAATCTAGTTATGCCTGGGGCTGTGGAAACTTTCAGACTTATCAATGGCTTTGGTTTGCAGCCCTAACTACACCTCACCTATCTGTGACTCGCACAGTCATCATGAAAAAAATATATTAATCAGATGTGACAGCAGAGTGTGTTTAGTTTTAGAATTTTTATCTCCTGCCCAGTTAACTGAACTTTAATTACACACCAGAGGCTCCTGCAGAAGCTTGCAGGCTGTTGACAGAACTGGTAATACGAAATTCTAAATAAAACAGAATGTGCAATAAAGGATGTTTAAACTTTAGATCTCTCTTTACAGGAAATGTGTAGGTCATATGCAGGGGAGGTGTGGCAATAGCTGCATAAACAAAGTTATTTAACTCCTAAATGGCAGAGTTTTGAGCATTTAGACACAAGGAACATGACACAGAGGAGCATTTAGACACAGGAGACATAACCACTCTATTAAAGTGGGGTCTTTCCATATTTTGCAAAAAAGGAAAATACGTAAATGTTTTGATTCTATGTACTTATGTAAAACCTACTTTGTGTGATATTATGATATATTTTTATTTTGTTGGAATTTCAATGAAATTAGTAATTTAAAAGTGGGGTGAGGCATAGTCAGATTGTAACAATCCTTAAAAAAAGACCTGTCACAAAATTTTTAGTTTTTTCACAAGCTGGGCATGGTATGTAATTTAACCTCTGTCCAAATATGGCACTGTTAAGGGAAGGCCCATACACAGTTGTACAGCATTTCTCTGTAAATGCACGAATACACCCAACAAATCATGGGGCACCAGAGTTCTGCTTTAAAGAAATACTACTGCAAAATAATTGAAGAATTCTCATGCCAGAGTTATTTTTGATCACTATGAAAAAAAATAATTTTTGCAGGGATACGCAGGCAGATAATTCAAGGTATGTTAAGTTCTAAAACCATCTTCCCCTTTGGTTTGTTGGAGAGGGGTGCACTTAAAACAAAACAAAAAAACTATTTATGTACCGTGCAAAGCAATCAAGTTGGATGGGGGTTGATGAATCCCCCATACTAGAGTCAACATTTATCATGCCCACTCATGCAACAAGATGGGAGTTGTAGTGCATAATACCTTCTTAAGAAAGCAAGAAAAATTGAATAGGAAAAAAAAGAAAACCTTGAATACGAAAGCTGTTTATAGTATATAGAGTACCATACACTGCAGGTATCCTGTTAATTCACCTGATGTATGTGCAACACTCTTCATTCAATGTCTACAGAAGATGAAGTGTCAGTAAACAGGAACTCTATAACACTTCCACTGCAGTGAAGCACCTATTATGCTTCGTATGTGTTTAAAAAAAATTTATTAAGATTTTTATGAAGATAGATGCCATTTAAGACAAAAATAAGATTTGTAATAACAGAACATGGACCGATATTACCACAATATACAGGTACTGGAAAAATATGAGGCTAAGGTTACTGCAGTATCAAAAAAAAAGAAAATACCGGTATACACTATGCTGCAAGCACCTCACATTGTTGCTCAGGCTGTGTAGCGAATATCGGTAAAACAAAAGAATGAGGACTGCAACAAGTTGCAATGCAGCATGTCTTAGGAAGAGTGTTGCAGTCTGCTTTGACAGAGAAAGATAACATCTAACACCCCAGTCCTAGTAATTTACATTGTCATCTTGTATTGGTCCACAGCAAAGAGATGGCAGAAGTTGTCTAACACTTCCTGATCTGTGTATTAGCCCCACCCTGAAATAAAAATATAACTTTGTTGCCAATAAAAGGTTTATTGGATGAGATCAGACCCCATATACCAGAATGAGGAGCTGTTTGGTATAATCTCTTTCTGGTGAAGTTCCTATATATATATAATAATAATACAGTTCAACAAAAACTGTTGGCCGTTATAAAGGACTTTTGGAAGAACTAAACAATAAGGAAGGGAGACAGGAGAAGGGACAGGATAAATGATAGAGTGCAGAGTGGTAGTTGCCTCGTTATAGAGGGGTGACCTTAGGATAGGTTGGGCTCGGGGAGATCACAAAAGAGGAAAGATAATTAAAACTTCACTTTTAATGTAAATAGTTAAAAGGGGGTTATACAAACAAATTTTAGTTCAAATAACTGTTGTAAGAAATCCTCAAGTGATACAGTTACACTTCATTCAAATGATTGTTGTAAGAAATCCTCAAGTGATACAGTTACACTGCCTGTTAACAGACTGAAATGCCACTGTGGGAACAACAGCTACAAATTACTAGTGTCAATAATGTATCGATATACCAGTACCTGGGCTCAAGGAAAAATAGCCAAGTCCCAGTGAGCTGCACTGAAGCTGTTAACAAAGCTGATAACAATGTTTACCGAAACTGCAGTGTCTGGACTCCAAAACAACCTTGAGAGTGCCAGTATACTGCAGAAAAGAGCATCTAAGAAATGATGACAGAGTCCTGTGTTAAAGACCGTGAGAAATAGCATCTAGAGGTATGTGCTGGCAGGAGTATCGTGCAGTATGGTAACTAGGAGGTGCAAACTGCAAAATGTTGCCTGGTAGATTCTGCAGGAACTGGCTTAATGACCAACAGGCTATGGGAAGAGAGGGGTTAACTACAAAAACTGGAAATCTTAGTGTTATGGTATGTGCAGGCGGGAGTGCCTGCAGTATAGTAACTAGGAGGTACAAACTGCAAGATGTTGCCTGGTAGATGCTGCAGGAACTGGCTTAATAACCCTCAAGCTGTGGGTAGAGAGGGGTTAACTACCAAAACACTGGAAATCCTAGTGTTATGGTATGTGCATGCAGGAGAATCTGCAGTATAGTAACTAGCCAAAAGCCTACAATCTCTTATGGAAATACAAATAGAAAATTTCCCACCAATACTGCTATAATGAAAGACGTGTGCTGGAAATGCCTAGACTTTGTAGGCTGCTTCAAGTGCTGCTGGGTAACGGCCGAGCCGATGCCGATAGAAAGCTCTAATTGGTATGGTAAGTAAAGAGGTCACTCTTAGTGCAGTGAAAGGTCACGCTTAGTAAAGTGACTGGTGGATAGCGCCAGTGTTGTTTCCCCTCACGCGCGTTTCACCTCAAAGGTTCATCAGAGGGGAACCAGTCTTGTGATGGAATCATGTTTTTAAATGTCTGGTGAAGTTCTCATTGGTGGATTTAAACGAATTTTTGGAAGAACATTCAACTGTTGTGTTCCCCACCACATTCTGTCTCAATTAGTCAACAGAGATCTCATTTCATTGCCTATTTTTCATACAACATTGTGTTCTGCCACACAAAGATGCCAAAACATTTTTGAAAAGTCTAGTGTTTTGTTTTTTATTTTTTGCCAGACTCCTCCATTGAACTGAATAGTAGAGAGTGAATGTAGTTATTTCCATTTGAGTTAAACATGACATAATTGACAAGTTTGATAAACTGATCTGCTTTATTTGAAAACGAAGATCCAAGTGCTCGTCTGTGTTGCTTGTTTTTGTTTATTTTTTTCAACAAAAAAAAACTAGTTTTACTTTTTTTTTTTTTTTTTTTTTTTAGCGTCCTAAAATATGAACACTTCACCATCAAAAAAATCTATTAACCTTCCTATGGCTTCACACAAAATTCTATGCATGTTCAATGAACCGGCAGTGTAATAGACTTTACTGCAGTATGGTATGATTGTGTGTACTTATTGATCACAGAAAAATGTTCTACTGTAACTAGTCCTTGTAACTCCCGTGCATGCAGTCCCTTTCATTTTTTGCTTTAAATTGTTCAGTGATTCCAGGTCTGCCCTCTTAATGGTTTGTTTCCCAGAACTCATTGTTGTCCTTAGAATCACACCACGAGAAAAATTCTTACATTTATTTTATTACAATTTTGTTGCTTTTGTGCACTTATAGTTCATATTGGAATTTTCCCAACTTGTATTTCCATGTATTAAAAAAAATGGTATCAGTTAAAGGAACACTATGGGCATCCAAATCATCTCATTGAAGTGACCTGGGTGCAATTCCCCTGTATGTATAATACTGCAATACAAAATATTGCAGTTTGTGAGAAACTGCAGTGATTACATTGCAGAGTAAACGCCACCTCTAGTGGCTGACTTCCTGGTCCGTAAAGGAGTTTTACTGTTAAATGATGTTGGACATCCTCACACTTTGCATGAGGATGTGTAACATCTTCAAATTCCTCATAGGAAAGCATTGATTGAATAGGGGATCTTTAATGTATGCGTGACAAGCGCTGCTCATATACATTTGGTAGGGACAGGGGCACTATAGCGTTAGGAATGCAAGTTTGTACTCCTAGTGCTATAGAGTTCCTTTTAGAATAAATAACAAGACTTGTCCAAAATATACAATGACCTGGTCCCTGCCATAGAAACATAGAATGTGACGGCAGATAAGAACCATTCGGCCCATCTAGTCTGCCCAATATCGAAATACTTTTAATTAGTCCCTGGCCTTATCTTAAGTCTAGGTTAGCCTTATGCCTATCCCACGCATGCTTAAACTCCCTCACTGTGTTAACCTCTACCACTTCAGCTGGAAGGCTATTCCATGCATCCACTACCCTCTCAGTAAAGTAATACTTCCTGATAGTATCTTTAAACCTTTACCATTCTAGTTTAAGACTGTTATCTTGTTGTGGTAGTTTTTCTTCTTTTAAATATAGTCTCCTCCTTTACGGTGTTGATTCCCTTCTATCATATCCCCCCTGTCTCATCTTTCCTCCATGTTATACATGTTGATATCCTTTAACCTTTCCTGGTAAGTTTTATCCTGCAATCCATGAACAAGCTTAGAAGCCCTTCTCTGAACTCTTTCTAGACTGAGTATCAATATCCTTCTGAAGATACGGTCTCCAGTACTGCGTACAATACTCCAAGTGAGGGCTCACCAGTGTTCTGTACAATGTCATGAGCACTTCCCACTTTCTACTGCTAATACCTCTCCCTATACAACCAAGCACCCTGCTAGCATTTCCTGCTGCTCTATTACATTGTCTGCCTACCTTAAGTCATCTGAAATAATTACTACTAAATCCCTTTCCTCAGATGTTGAGGTTAATAGTGTATCAAATATTCTGTACTCTGCCCTTGGGTTTTTACGTCCAAGGTGCATTATCTTGCACTTATCCACATTAAATGTCAGGTGTCTCATCCCGGGTCCCTATTTAGCCTTGACTTGCAGAGAGTCGAAGAAGGACGTATTTCCCAAGTAAGTGGATTAATCTCATAAGAGCAAGCATTAGGATTTGAAGATCACCTGATTAGACCTCCTCTACTTTCAACATTGTACATTTTGCCAACTTGTTCTTAACACAATCTTTAGTGGGCTTTTGTAATATTGCTGTTGTCTTCAGTCCATGTTGCTTCATGTTTCTTCTTTCTCACTCGCAATCTTGTTCATCTGTTTTACTTTGTAGTTTCCTCTCCATCTCTTTAAGAAATGCATTTAACTTCTGATCTTGACATTTAACTTTTCATCCTCTTACATATTCTATCCTATCCCTAAGTATGTCTGAAATTGGCCTTTTGTTTTTATATGATCCAAGACCCTCCATTATAACATTCACTTCTCATCCAAGGTAAAACTTTGATAATTAGAATTTTTGTTTAATAAATTTATTACATGTATTCTAACCTTGTTCTGTAATGCATACATATGAGTAATTACCGCTTTAGAATATCTCATTACATAGCTTTTTTTTTTTCCTCTTTAGAGGAGACATATTTAAGTCCTATGAACAGAAGCATCACATATTCAACCAAAAACTGTGCAGCTAACATGCATTTACAAATATGGACATAATGCCTATCTTATTTCTGACAAAATAATTCTAAATATTAATGCCCCTGGAGCAAGGATAAGGCAAGTAATGCACAAAAATAACTAAAAAAAACTAAACCAACTTATATATCTTAATTTCACAATAATACACAGCTAGGTTATATGACATGAAATATTTTCTTTTCAGTCACAGTAAAAATAAATAAAATGTAAAAAAGTTAGTTCCCTTTAACACTGCCACATATCTCCAGAACTACGTACCACCAGCTCTCTCAAATCCTCACTGTCTTTTGAAGGAACACTCCACACGATTAAAACTCTTTAGCTTGCTGAAGTGCTTTTGTGTGTGAATGGTTAGCCCCCTTTTCATTATCAATGCATTTATTTTTTTAAATTCCCAACAGTGCAGATTTCAATAGAAATTGGCACTGTTATAAAATTGCGTGGTTACATCTTCTGCCTGTCATGCAGACCAGTGTTAACAATAACAATTTTAGTAAGATTTTAGTAGACTTACATTTTTTAGATTTAGTCGACTAAAACTAAACCAATTCAGATGACTAAAATACCACTAAAACTAAAATGGCGTTTTAGTCAAAAGACTATGACTACAACTAAATTGAATTTGCTGCCAAAATAAACACTAATGCAGACAACTGGTCCTGTTACTTCCTGGTTTAGTTTGCTCAGTGGAGCTAAACTCAAGAGGCAGCATTTGCTCAGAGCACCTGCCTTTCAAAGACTTCTCATTCAGCTGCATTTGGAAGTCTGTGATTCGACAGCAACAGAATATCTGTGCTGAGTAAAGGGGAAGGGCTCGCAAATTCTGCAGACAAATGCTATTTTTAGATCTACCCCCGATGGGGAAAAAAAAATGCATCAATATATGCATGCTTGTTTTCTTTAGGCTTTATCTATAATCTATAAATTATTTGTGGAAAATTCCATTGGAGGATACCTTTAAAGTGTCATGAACTATGTGTAATGTTTTGAACTATAACAACAGTTCTCCTATCTTCACTTATGACTCAAGTCCTCTAACTATGCTTCTCTATATTTAGATTTAACATGACTTCCATAATTTTTACATATTTTCTTTTTTAATATTACTCACTATTTTGCACTGCAGAAGTTGATTTTATATATAATATATACACGCTACATATTAGAATTGTTGTTTTTCCCTTGAAGGGAAATTTTCTCCTTTCTTTGGATAGTTAAAGGGTGGGTGACTTCATGAATTACCTTTTACTGTATAGATATTAGTAAAACATTTTGTATTTTTATCTATTCACCTGCAGATGGTGAGGACACTGTGCCTTTTCCTGTCTCCGACAGAACGAAAATGCTCCAGACTATGCAGATCAGAATCTTCTTTCAAGTACGAGTCTGGATTGTTTGTACAAGGGCTGCTAAAGGTAGATGGGTATATAGATAAATATTATGAACTGGTCTGCTATATTTCTATTTGTACAAGTTAAAACTTAAACTGTTTTCCATTTGCATCTGACTTTTGTAACCTAGAATCTTTACATTTCAGAGGAGACTTTAATATTATATTAGTTTATTAAGCACTTTTTTTTTTAAATAAAGTTAAAAAAACAAAAAGAAAATAACATTTACAAATCCATAGCACCATATATAGTTATATCCTGAAACATTGTTTCTGTTCCCCTTCTTCCAGTGCAGCGTGTGCCATGACTTTGACAGGACTAAACTTGATTGTGAGGCTACTAACTTAATTTTGAATTTACATTTAAAAGAAAACTGTCATATGTGAAAAAGATTAATGCACGTCATAGGTGATTTTGTTTTTGTTTCAATTCTTTATTTATTTTTTATTAAAGTGATGGTACTTTTTTAAATAAGTGCAGAGTACCTTGATAATATATTGAATGAGAAGTTATTTCTAAAAAAATAAAAAAAACCTGTAGCATCTGAACTTTAACTAATTAATTAATTTAGAACACATGTAGATGTTGACAGACCGCATCCACTCTGATCCTTTGTCGGCCTGTACACAACAATAACTGACACAGACCAAAGTAATTTTTAGTTTGTCCACAGGCAGAGTTCTGAAGATATTCTTCCCTTAATATAGAATCTGACCAAATAAATTTTGCTTTGTTACAGGATTCTACTGGAAGCTTTGTGTTACCATTCCGACAAGTAATGTGTGCACCCTACCCTGCCACTCACATAGATGTAGATGTAAACACAGTAAAGCAGATGCCCCCATGCCATGAACACATTTACAACCAGCGAAGGTATATGAGGTCAGAGCTGGCTGCTTTGTGGAAGACTGCTTCAGATGAGGACATGGCAACCAATTCCATTATACATACAGATGAAAACTTCAAACTTAACCTGTAAGTAGAGACCAGTCCAGCTTAGTAATAGTTGTGACATTGTCCACAATCTTCCTAGCCCACATTCTGTAATATTTTTTGTAAAATAATGTTTATGTAATATCTTCATGTAGTTGTAGACTGATCCAGAAATATGAGACGGAAAAATGTGTGTTGGCAAAAAGCTAAGTGGCAAGATAAGGAAAATTTGACTCAACTTGAATACCTTTTAGTACATTTGCATTCTTTTTTTTTTTTTTTTTATTCTGGAGAATTAAAGTGGACTCAAAATATAGATTACACTACAAAACTAAGGATCAAATCTTGCCTTTACCATATATTTACTACAAGCATGTCAAACTCAAAGGCTAACACAGGACAAATAAACATGGTTTAAGTTGATGTGGGCCGCAAAAAAAAAAAAAAACTTCAGTTTTCATAGAAACATAGGTTTATTTAGAAAAGTACAGTGTACAAAAAGTTGCTTAACCCCTTAACCCCTTAAGGACACAACATCTGGAATAAAAGGGAATCATGACGGAATATTTCCGTCATGTGTCCTTAAGGGGTTAAGGACTGGACTGTTTTTGCGATGTTGTACATTTGCGACCAGGCATATTTTTACACTTTTGTGGTGTTTGTGTTTGGCTGTAATTTTCCGCTTTCTCGTTTACTGTTCCCATACAAATTATATATTGTTTTTTTCAGGACAAAAGGGGCTTTCTTTACATACCATTATTTATATAATATCATGTATTTTAATTTAAAAAAAATAAAAAAATATGATGAAAAATTGAAAAAAATACATGTTTTTTGACTTTTACTTGAAAAATCTTTTACTCATCTACAAAAGCGAATGAAAAAAACTGCTAAATAGATTCAAATTTTGTCCTGAGTTTAAAAATACCTAGTGTTTACGTGCTTTTTTGCATGTTATAGGGCTATAGGTACAAGTAGGATATTGCGGTTTCAAAACATAAATTTTTAAAATTTATCAATAGTGACATTGTAACACTATTATCTGTCATAAATCTCTGAATAACACCCCACATGTACATATTTTTTTTAAAGTAGACAACCCAGGGTATTCAATATGGGGTATGTCCAGTCTTTTTTAGTAGCCACTTAGTCGAAAACACTGGCCAAAGTAAGCATTCATATTTGTTTGTGTGTGAAAAAAGTAAAAAAACTAAATTGAACGCTAATTTTGGCCAGTGTTTGTGACCAAGTGGTTACTAAAAAAGACTGGACATACCCCATTTGCAATACCTTGGGTTGTCTTCTTTTGCAAATGGTATGCCATCATGGGGGTAATTCTCATTCCTGGGCTACCATACGCTCTCAAAGGCAACGTAACCAACCTGGCCATTTTCAATGTAAAAATATTTGACCCATATATTTGACCTTGTAACTTTCAAAAATGCTATAAAACCTGTACATGGGGGGTACTGTTTTACTCGGGAGACATCGCTGAACACAAATATTAGTGTTTAAAAACTGGAAAACGTATCACAACAATTATATCATCAGTAAAAGTGCTGTTTGTGTGTGAAAAATGCAAAAAAAAGTAACTTTCACTGACAATATCATCGCTGTGATATGTTTTACTGTTTTGAATCACTAATATTTGTGTTCAGCGAAGTCTCCCGAGTAAAACAGTACCCCCCATGTACAGGTTTTAGGGTGTCGTAGAACGTTACAGGGTAAAATACAGTGCTAGCAAATTAAATTCTCTGGAATTTCGGCCTGGGTTGGCAGGCAGGTCCCTCAAATTGCAATCAATAAAATTACTGAATGATGTAAAAATATGACATAAATACGCACGTAGAATTGTAGATTATGCTAACGTAGTGTACCTATAATCTTAATTTTAATAATGACAGGAGGCGAGTATTTTGCATAACTTTCTTTACTTTATGCCTCCAGCAGCACAAGTCAATCAATAAACTTTAAACCAATCAGTAACAGGCATCACATTCATATATAAAGCCCTGACAGTCACATGACTTCCTCTTTCTTTGATGCGAAAAACAGTCTATTATAACGTCAGGGAATTCAAATAACAGTCCTGAGTAACGTGTAGAACATAACTTGAAACGAAACTTGAAACCTTCCAGCTTTATCTTGTCGAATCCATCTATGATGATTACGCTGAAAAGAACAGAAATACGTGAAAGGTGATGGAAACCAACTGTTGTCCACATTAAATCCAGTACTATATGTGTCTATATTTATATTAAGTTAATATACTGAAACATTAAACAAACCATAGTATACTTAATAATCAACACGGATCTAACACATATCAACCAAATAAGCATCCCATAAATATACTGAATTACCAAACCTTATAATTTACACTGAGAAAATGACAAACCAAAATATAAAAAATTTCCAGAGTATAGGGAGGGAAACAGGGAGGGAAAATACTTGCCTCCTGTCATTATTAAAATTAAGATTATAGGTACACTACGTTAGCATAATCTACAATTTTATCACATGACAGGAGGCTTCATATTTTGCATTTTTAAAGCTGTGGTATGAGCGTGAAGGATGCGTGTGTGGTTGACGAAAATAAATATACGGAAGTAGTCTATCCGTGTCCAATTCGTCGCTGAAAATATAGAGGCCCCCTCGTGAAGGCCTGAGAAGCAGCTGCGCCTCTTACCGAATGAGTACCCAAACACGTCTCCACCCTCGCTAGCGATAACAACCAATGAACCCATCTAGACAGAGTGTTCATGGTAACTGGCTTGTACGGTTGGTATAAGACCAGCAGATGTCCTGAATGTGACATTCTAAGTGTTGTCGTGATCTCCATGTAACAAAGTACCCCTTTAACTGCACAAAGGCTGGGAAACCGTCGGTAACAGGGAACGATACGGACACGGATAAGATATAGTTCTACGAGACACTGTAGAAATTATTCTTTCCGGTGATACCGAAAAGACCGTCTACGTCGAACTCCAGTACATCTGATACCCGACGAAAAGACCTAAAAGTAACGTGACTCTGGCTAATGGCTGACTGAGGGATAGGACCGTGATATCTGACTAGCTCCAAAAGAACCAAATCAAAGTCCCACACCAGTGATACTTTGACGCATGGTTCTGGACGGTTTGATACCCCACAGAAAATGGCATATCAAAGGCTCTTGATTGACTGGAGTGTCGTGAATCGTGCTATGCATCGTCGAAATCGCGGAACGTAGCCCGTTAATGGAACGTTCCGATCGGCCTGTAGTGAAAAGGTATGATAAAGATCCAGCATCGTGGAGATAGGGGTAATAAAGGGATCGCAGTCCCTTCCCATACACCAGCGAACTCAAGGTGTTCCATGCGGATAAGTTATTTCGGGGGAATACCTGGCGTCCATGAGTCCCATAGTAGGTCTCTAGTTGGTTGCGATAGTCCCTTGACATACCAGTCTCCCCTGGAAGACACCAATCTACCAACTCCAGATGCTCCTGCATTCTCAATGGATGATGTTCTCCTTTTGGATCCGCCCGAAGGCAAGTTAAAACGGAAGGAGAAGAGGATGATCCTGATTAAGGACAACCCTTCTGGGTGTCACGCTTGCCTCCTTTACCGCAGTAATGAGTACTATCGAAGTCTTCGCTATTCTGATCCCAATTTCATAGGTGTGTCCGTATCTCAGGCAGTGAGCTTTCAGCCACTGTCTGGCCTGGTAGTGAAGCAGTCCTGGGAAATAGTCAAAGGGTTATGGTGCCTTTCCGCCGTACCCGTCGAATTTCCTTACGAATCGTCGCTATCAATGATGTGGGAAGGTGTAATCCGCCCAAGGTGGAATCTATTCTGAAATAGAGGAACTGAATCACTCGGAACTGGGATCGAACCAACTCCTCTCTGTTCACTATGAATCCCAACAATTCCCGAAACTGTAAACATAAATCTCGTTTGTAAACGTAGTCATGAATTGGATTTGCAAAAGGTAAGTCGTCTAGGTATGTGACAGCAGATACCCTTTGCTTTTCAGTGCGCAGTGACCGACTTCAGAAACTTCATGAGGCACCATGTGAACCTATAGGTAAGTGCCCTTCAAGTCCAACCTTGTAGATCCCCTAAGAGATGGATACCTTCCTTCTTGAGTTGTCGGTACGCCCCAAAACCATTGGGTTGGCATAGGTTGATGACTGGGTGATAGTCTCCTATCTTCTTCCTTACTACCAAACCGTTGCTGAGATAAATGGTTCTCCAAACGATAGTCCGTCTGCCTGAGGTCCTCGCTCTTTCGTCCCTAACTTCAATAGTTTGAAATCCATCTTTAATCGGGCTGCTTTGCGGCGTTCTGTGCACCTGTCTGCCTTGCGTTCCCCAACTTACATATTGCCCTTTGCACCCATTCCCTCACATCGTGAGCTTCTAGAGGTGAGTCTTGTGTGGGGTCAGGTCCGCAAAGTATAGAATTTTTTCCCGGGCTGATCATATCCAGTATTTAACTCATTTTGAGTCCTCCTCCTACACACTGATCGGGACATACATATCACCACGAGCTCCATAGTGAGGACTATCTTGTTCGGACATAGAGGGCGTGGGCATTCCATCCTGAGCCGGTCTCGGATTTCTTTTCCCATAGGCCTCCTAAGCCAGAAGTGGGCCCGGTGCTCCAGTTAACCCCATTCGGATGACCCTGGTTGTCGGATGGTGCGTGAGTCAAAACAGGAGTGTCCAGTGTGCCAAAGAAAAAACCTTTCTTGCTAGGCGTGTCTTGTCACTTTTACCTCTTCTGCCCTCCATTCTTTCATGATCTCCAGAGAAGGGGGGGGGAGGATGAAGTCCTCGTCCCCTGATGATGGGTGTCCGACCTAACGTCGGTATCTCAATCTTCCATTGGTGTTGCTGCCGTTGCACCCGCTCTGTCGGATGGGTTGTTAGCCAGCATACTGGAGAGGACTTCTTCCCCCGGAGCTGTCATGGCAGCCTTAATCCTCGCCTGAAAATCGGTCGGGGATATTGAGGTAAGTCCGACATGTTGGTTCACACCCTTTCGGTCCGTGGGAGACAGGATCGTACAACAATACACTTATTGCCACTCAGTAGGCCTCCGCGTATAACTGGGGGTCACCCAGAATTTTGATCAATCAGTATCATTTTCGCAGGATCCGGGGAGTGGTCTGAGAATGAGGACACCCTCAGTAAGACCAGGATGAGCGGTCTGCAATGTCGGGACGTAGCCCGAGTCTGGGAGACGTGAAAGCCTCAATATATATAGTCCACGGGGTTCATCCTTATATGGTCTAGAATTGTGGGGTTTTGGCAGCACTGTGAGTTCTCCTTCTCGGTTAAGGGAAGGGCGTACGGAACCCCAGTTGAAGCATAGAGGTGCCAGAATACATGCATCTAGTGCGCCCTGGTCTGTGCATACAATGACAGAGCGTACTCTGAAGGTAGAAGCCCTAGAAAGGGTGCGGGGGGTCACCCCTTTGTACCTATGCCACTAGCACCGGAGTAAGGCTCGCTTGGGGTTCACCCAGCATAGGGGGGTCACCCCTGTATGAATGTCTCTTATGGCATGTTGGGACACTCTTTCGGTCTATGGGGTACCGAACAGGTGTCAGGTACGGTAGTACACTTATTGCCACTTAGTGGGCCTCCACTTACAACTGGGGGTCACCCAGAATTGTTTCAATCAGTACCACTTAGAGATTTCCTGGGAGTGGTCTGAGGAGGGGGTCACCCTCAATAAGACCGGGATGAGCGGTCAGTAATGTCGGGACGTAGCCCGTGTATGGGGAGGTATGGTAGCCTCCAAAGTATCCAAGGGGTCACCCTTATAGGATATAGTACTGTGGAGAATTGGCAGCACCATGAGCTCTCCTTCCTGGCTCTGTCGATATACATGTATTCAGTGTGACCCGGTCTGTGCATACAGTAACAGATCGTACTCCGTGGAAATGAGCCTGCCCTAGGGCGTGGGGGTTCCCCCCAGTATATGTATGTCACTAGTACCGGAATAATATTCATTTGGGGTTCACCCAGAGTAGGGGGATCACCCCAGTATATGTATGTCACTAGGACAGGAACCAGATTCGCTTGGGGGTCACCCAGCGTAAGGGGGGGTCACCCCTGTACCACAATGTCACTTTGGAGAGGTGTCTGCCACGCTTGGGGGTCACCCAGCGTAAGGGGGGTCACCCCTGTTAATCACTCCGTTATGTGCCTCCACTACTGTGTCCTGGGAGGTGTATCCCTGTGGGGAAGGAGTGTATCCAATGGTTGTGAGGTCCAGTGGGAGTAGGGAGCGGAGTAAGATATCAGCTCTATTTAATTTCCCTGCCAGTAGATAGAGTAATGCATCCACTATATACCCACAGCAGGGGACAGTCCATTCATAATCCTCCAGATGTACAATAAAACTGTTATTCAACATGTCAATTGTATAGAACAGAATAGAGCAAACTGTCAGCAGATGCACACAGCAGGGATCAGTCCTACATATTCATGCAGAGTTACATATAAAACTTTTATTTCACATGCCAATGAAATATGCCAGTATAGAGCTCAGCAGTGAACAGTCCATTCATAATCTTCCAGGAAAGGTACATATAAAACCTTTATTCCACATGCCCATGAACAGTATTGAGCTCAAAAGTACTTGTAAAACTTTTATTTCACAGGAAAAATATATGAAACAGTACAGAACTAGCCGCCAGTTCGTGGGAATCACGAACTGGCCAAACGACATGGCCGACGTGAATCTCGCGAGTGCCGCGAGATTCAAGATGGCCGCCGTTCGCGCGCAAAAGTGCCGTGCGGCCCACGATCGAGGATACGATCGCGGTCTGCCGGCATGGAAAAGAGTCCCCCCGACATCCCCAACCCCCAGAGACCTGCCCTGAAGTCCCAGCACCAATGAATAAAAAGCGTGCTCGCGGTAAAACGCCGCGATCCATGCGAGACCAGAGTAAAGCATAGGAAAGAAAAGGTGCCAGCAACAGAAAACAGGCTAATAAAGCAGAAAATACAGGGTTAATTCAGGGGAAGGGTAACAGGGGGAGAATATCACACTATACAAATCCAAATGGAAGGCAAGTGCAAAATAATGAAAAACGTTTAGGCCAAAATTGCAGGACAAGCTAATAAAGTTTAACAAAAGTGCCCATGCATATCCAGAAACAGTTTGGAGCAAAAACTGAATGTCTAGCATTAAAAATCTAACTAAAGTGACCATAGCAATATTAATAAAAACAGTTGGAGCAAACTGAAAGTCAATTAATAAAGTTTAATTAAAGTGGTATCCAGAAAAAACAGTTAGGATTAAAACTGAATGTCTAGCATAAGGTGTCTAACTACAGTGACCATAGCAATATTAATAAAAACAGTTTGGAACAAACTGAAAGTTAAGCAATAAATGATTAACTAATGACAATTGCAATATTCAGTAAAACAGTTTGGAGCAAAATACTCTGACCTGTGCCTTGGCTGGTAAGCAGCAAAGAAAGAGGAAGTCATGTGACTGTCAGGGCTTTATATATGAATGTGATGCCTGTTACTGATTGGTTTAAAGTTTATTGATTGACTTGTGCTGCTGGAGGCATAAAGTAAAGAAAGTTATGCAAAATATGAAGCCTCCTGTCATGTGATAAAATTTAAATATATATGCATATTTATATAGTTTAAGTCTACGTGTATATTTATATAATTTATTTATGTAATTTTGTATATGGACATATGTATATTTCGTATTATTTTTATTTATATATACATAGATATATATACAAATTCATTCTAAGTGTATTTTGATATAAATATATATATATATATATATATATTAATTTTAAAATACAGTTAGAATAAAATTTCATATAGATATAGTTTTTTTTTTTAATTTTTATTATTTAAAAAAAAATTATTTAATTTAAATTACTTATTATTTATATTTTATAATAATATATATACACAATATATATAGTTATTATATATATTATATATATATATACACACGTGTGTAATTTAATTATAAGTGTATTTTTATATTAATACAAGTACATATTAATATAAAAATACACTTAGTATGACATTATATATATATGATATATAGACATATATTATATAGATTATAATATATGTCTATATATCATATATACACATATATAATTATTATTATTTTTTTAATTAACACTAACTTTATTTTTTATTTTACACTAGCAGGGAGACTGCCTGTCAGCACAGACAGTCCCCCTGCAGGCAGACACATGGACACCTATTGTGACCATGTGATCGCTGTGTTAAGCGATCACATGGCCACAGGGGTCCTAATTCAGTGTGGGGAGACTGTCTGGGCTGCAGGCAGTCTCCCCACAACCGGAGCAATGCTGATCGCCGCCGGGGGAACGACGGCGATCAGGTAAGTACCTCTGACCGTTAGGACGGTTCAGGACCGTCATCGGTCGGCAAGGCAAAAATGCCGATGACGGTCCTGAACCGTCCTCGGTCGGGAAGGGGTTAACTGACACTGGACGTCCTCACGCTCGTAGGGCTTCAAAGTAAACAAAAGAGCAAATTTATTTAAAGGAGATGTGTATTTACATATAACCAATGTTTCAGTCCAACTACCTTGACATATTAAGAAAAGTTTGGGACTGAAATGGAGAATGTATGCTGTTGCACAGCTGTAAAAAATTTTTTTTAAAAATGACATATCTTGTTGATTTTTAAGTCCTATGAGTGTGTTCTTCACTTTGGCTGAGATCATCAAATCTGATGATCTCAGATAATCCAGTGCTTTTTCATAGAAAGCATTGGGAGGCTATTGTGCATGTATGGTAAAAAGCTGCGCAGCCAATCAGCATCTCCTTGGGGGAGTGTTCAGCTCCTCCATGCAGACCCATTTTAATACACTGCCTCAATCTTCCATTCTAATACACTGCCCACAAAGCCAATACACTGCTTTCCACTCCACTCTATAGACCTGCCTCCCTCCAACCACTCCCTCCTTCCCCCAATTTAATACACAGCCCTCTCCTTCCCCAAAATTAATACATTGCCCTCCCCCAAATTTAACACACTCCCAGCACTCTAATACACTGCCCCCTCCCACCACTCTAATATACTCTCCCTCCCCAAAATTAATAGATTGCACTCCCCCAATTTAACACACTGCCTCCCCTTCCCACCACCCTAATACACTGCTCCTTTCTCTCCCCCAATTTAATACAATACCCACCTCTCTTCCCCAATTAATATACTGCCCACTTCTCTCATATTAATACAGTGCCCCTTCTCTCACATTAATACACTGCCCCTTCCCTCCCCTAAATTAATACACTGCCTACGCCCTTCCCCAAATACAGTGCGCCCCTCACCAATTTAACACAGTACGTAGGATGGTCCCCCAAGTCCCTATTCCTCTACCTTAAGATAAGTTGTCCTCCAGTTGCAGCTCTTCTCTGCTCAAGAAGGTCAGGCGCTCCTTTGGCACTGCGATCACAAAGGAAGGAGGAGTGGCTGGCCTGCTCTGCAGACAGATAGATAGCCACTCTGCTCTCTTGCAGCTATGGGAGGGAAGACCAGAATCAGACAGAAAATATCTTTAGTGACTAAAAAGAAGTATATATATACACACACTACTGTAAAAGTGAATTAGTACACACTAGTGAAAAATTCTCAAGTGGTACTTGATAAACTAGGTGTTACCCAAGTGTACCTCACAAACACCTAAATACAAATAGGAACAAGGAAAAAGTGGGAAAACACCCAGTATATAATAAATTGAATACAACCTTGGAAGATATACCAGCATAAATAAAATAAACTATGTATGTAGATCTGTAACAGTAATGAACATTACATAGCATAATACAGTTAAGTAAAAATATGTGTTATATAGGAATCACACTCACAAACATAGATGTAAAAGAGCTTCTCACCTCACCAGGGGTTAAAATGATAAGGAAAGCTGTTGGATTCCAATCCTCATTGATTCCTTTAATTAGTGAAGGAAAGAAAGCCATACATGGTGAAGTATAGTTAAAACTTAGAAAAATTTATTTAGATTGCACTTACAAGCAGGTAGACAATCTGGGCATGTATCCACACAGTGTGGAACTAGATGAAGCGTGGTAGTTCTCACACAGCCAGCAGGAGACAATAAAAACAGACAAAATAAAACAAAAGTCCATAAAATGTCCAAGTAATATAGTCCAACGCGTTTCGTCCAATGGGGGGACTTCCTCAGGGATCTGGAGTGCTTCTCCTATGGACAAGCTTCTTATACTGTTAGTAATCTTCATTAATTCAATCCGCATGTCGGCGTGCGTTCTATCCATGGAACGCAGTAATGTGTATGCTGTGCGACTCAGGGAAGAGACATATGACGTAGACGTGAGAAAATTGCAATTTACAGATAGACATACAACGCATGCGCACAGACTAACGGAAAAAAGGAGCCGAACACTATGCGCATGTGTGTAATGTCTTTCGTCAGTAAGGATAAACGAACGAATATCTTTCCTGTCTTGTGGCTGTTCACAGCCACAGCACAAAGCGGCTCCATGGCAAATGTATTGCAAGTTTGATATGCTTGATGTACTATGTTGCAGATTGCAGCCAGACTTTCAGGCAACTTTTAAAGTCTACTGCTCAGAACCTCTTTTTCAGGGACACCTGAAAGTATTTCCTTATTAATTAAAATTAAGTGTTCCAACTACAAGCCAAGTGGAATATTTATTTATAAAGCTATAACATAGATCAGATTGCTATGAACAGACCCGTGCAAAAATATGTGGTGTTAGTGCGAGTTTAGACACAATGGCCTCAATTTATTCTTTCCAAAGGATTCAAAACTATTAGAAAATGTTTCTAAATGATTTATCTACAAAAATTCCTGTTGATATTAATGGTGACTTCGGTTGATAAATTATTTTCCTTTGTTGTCTTTCTTTCAGGAATATTTTTCAAGATATTCTTCACAGAGACACGTTTGTAAAGTCCTTTTTGGAACAGGTATTTTTATTGTATCTTAATGCAAGTTGTGACATTTCTATCTACAAGATGATTCACTATTGCAAAGTAAATTTCAAATTCAAGTTAAAAATAGCCAAACTAAAAAACATGCAAACTGACTTGGAGAATGTTTCCAAAGATTTACAACCAGTAATAATGGAACCTTGCCTCGCCTATGGCTGCAGGTATCACTCCAGCTTAAGCCAGCAAAGTCTGTAACACTCTCCACTGAGACTGAGAAGTAGACCTTAGCTATGCTTCTGGTTTGACTACTGTCCTTGAATTTGAAATTCTCTTTGAATGCTAACTTTATCATATAACTGCTAGTCTATATACCTGTTAACACAATACTATCATTTTATCGTTAAGAATACGTTTGTGGAATTTTAGGAGAAGTATTTTGCCATATTTGCCTGATTGTGGTGTGTCATGGAGTAGGCAAAACAAATTATCTAGTTAACCCCTTAAGGACACAACTTCTGGAATAAAGCTAAAATTTTATTTCAAGTTTTGTACACTGCATGGAGTGTCGGTAAATGTGTGAATACAGAGTTATATTTGTTTGGAGAGTTGGTATGTCTGAATAGTGGGTACATTTCTGTGGAGGGTTAATGAGTATGAACATTTAGGGATGCAGGTTTGTAGAAAACATGTGTTTGTATCCAAGCATGTGTGAATGTAAGAGTGTATAGTTTTGTTAAAGGAACACTATAGGTTCAGGAATAGAAAGTGTATTCCTGATCCTGTAGTGTTTAAAATGCAGTTAGCCCTCTTGCTCCCCTTAGAAATTGTAAAAGCTCACCTTTATTCTACTCCCCTTCAATTCTCATGATGTCCGCCAAGGGGGTGGGGGCAGAGCCAAATGTTGCCCTGGCAAATCAGCATCTCCTCATACAGGTGCAATGAATCAATGCATCTCTATTGGGAAAGTTCAGTGTCACCATGCAGACCCTTTTTCCTCTAAAAAGGCAGTGTTCACAGCAAAATGCCTGCAGGGACTGACTTTACTCACCAGAACAACTACATTAAGTTGTAGTTGTTATGGTGACTATAGAGTCCCTTTAAAGGGACGCTATAGTCACCAAAACAACTTTAGCTTAATGAAGCAATTTCGGTGTGTAGATCATGTTCCTGCTGTCTACCTCGACATTTCTTTGCCATTTTGGAGTTAAATCACTTTGTTTATGCAACTCTAGTCACACCTACCTGCATGTGACTTACATAGCCTTCCTAAACACTTCCTGTAAAGAGTCATCTAATGTTTGTACTTCCTTTATTGTAAATTCTGTTCAATTTAAAATGTAGTATCTCTTGCTCTGTTAATAGCTTGCTAGACCCTGCAGGATCCTCCTGTATGTAATTAAAGTTCAATTTACAGAGCAGGAGATAAAAACATCTAAAGTAAGTTATCAAATTGAAAACAAAACTATATTATTTAATGCAGGCTGTGTCAGTCACAGCCAAGGGAGGTGTGTGGTTAGGGCTGCATGAACAGAAACAAAAGGGATTTGAGCAGTGATACTGCAGAAGCATGAGCTATACACCAAGGCTACTTCATTAAGCTAAAGTTGTTTTGGTGACTGTAGTGTCCCTTTAACCTAGACACACAAGTGCTGCAGAATGAAGTGTGTTTAGTGCAGCACATGTAAGCATAAATCACCCCAATAAGCACCTCAGTGACATTTACTGATGTCTAGGAAAGTGAAACTGACACTTTCAGAGCACTAACAGTTCTGCATTAAGGGGATGTTAATATTTTTTTCCTTAACAAGTTAATTTGCTTGTATGTCTTCCATTATGGTTGAGGAAAATATAAAGAGAAAGAGATATGCATAATATTTGCCTGTGAGTTTAATAAAATGTTGACTTATCATTACATTAGGAAAATTCTCTAATTCCCTACCTTAAGCAAACATATTTGTATATGGCCAGTCCACTTGCACAGAGTATATAGATGGAATGTAATTTCCTACCCTTGACTGTCGTATTTGTATATGATCAGTCTGCATTATACAGCCTAGCAAGTTTTAATATCTGTTCTGTCGGAAGAAATTACAGATGGAAATTGCAGAGAGGCACCTTGTTCAAATAGAACATAAGTAATGTGTTGATTAAAACTCAGCCCTTTAAACATTTTTACTGAGCTGTACCATAATCATAAACAGTTTCTGAGCATTTTAGGTTCTGGCTGGTTTTGTTCATCTGTCTCCTTATGTGTCTTTAAACTTATCTACACAGTGAATGTGTATTTAGTGCTTTTTTTATACATATCTATTTCTACACAAACAAATTGCATCCTTTTTATTTTTGCATAATTCACCTTTTTTATGCATTAGGTCTTCCAGTTGAAACCTAACTTATCCCTAAGAAGCACATTCCTGGCACAGTTTCTGCTAATACTTCACAGAAAGGCCTTGACCCTGATTAAATACATAGAGGATGATACGTAAGTTCATAGATTTTACATAATTAAAACCCTATATATAAATATCGCTAAAGATCCTAAGAACAATCCATTTTGATCATCATTTAATTTTTGATGTCTTTAATTTGATTGTGTGTAATATTAGATATTAATACATTGGAAGACTGTACAAGCAAATATGATGCATCTGTTAATAAACTAAAGTTCCTATAAACTAGTTCCAAGAAAAGATGCGCTTCAAAGTTATTTGAAAAGGGCTTGGAGGAACTATTATGGGTTATTTTTGTGATCAATTTTGTTTTCCCCATATAAAAGAAGAATATATTTGTTAGGATCATAGTAGTATTTGAATTTTTTCCCATGATCATTTTAAAGATTAAAATTATTTGTGTTTGTATGTCTTTCAGACAAAAAGGCAAGAAAGTCTTTAAATCACTACGTAGCTTAAAAACGGACCTGGATCTGACAGTAGAGGGCGATCTAAACATTATCATGGCTTTAGCTGAAAAGATTAAGCCAGGGCTTCACTCCTTCATATTTGGAAGGCCTTATCACATCAGTGTGCAAGAGAGAGACATGTTAATGACATTTTAAAAATGTCCACAATCATGCTGAAAGTTATAATGCTTCTGTATGGACATATCCGACATTCTATAAAGTGCCAGGATTCACATGGACAGAGACAGTAACTGGTATTGGGTTTTTTCTATCCTTTTCTGAAGGTGCCTCATTTGTTCTCACATACAGAAAATATTGAAACCGTGGAATCACTTTGCATGTTGTCATGTCTGCTGTATGATCTGACCATTCTGATTATTAGTAGACTGAGTATATATGAATGAGCTGATTTGTTTATGTTTTTGTGCTGAACACAGATCAATGTGAATCTAGGCAGAAGACTTAACCAGAGATATTGACAAAAAGGTGAAATTACACAATATAATTCACAATGTATCTGGTTTGTATAGCTTCTGGAAGTAAAATGTATTATGTTTCTTAAATTTTATTTATAAAAATGATCAAAATGTCTACAAAGCAACTTTCTTTTTTTTTTTTTTTTGAGAGGTATTGTCATCCATGTATATATTGAGGTATGTGTTAAGACAAATCTTTACATCGTGTAACATTTTTGTGCCAGCTTGCATAAGTACCTTTATGATTGCTGTGTTCTTGGAATAAAGATCTTTGTGCCTAATTTTTGTGTCCCTAGCTCAGAACAGTATGCGTTTATTTAGAATAATTACTGTGCTTGGAAAGAGCAAGCTGATGTTTAACCCCTTAAGGACATAGCTTCAAAAGAGTGTCTGTCCCTTAGAGGGACACTATAGTCACCAGAACAACTACAGCTTATTGAATTTGTTCTGGTGAGTAGAATCATTACCTTCAGGCTTTTTGCTGTAAACACTGTTTTTTCAGAGATAATGCAGTGTTTACATTACAGCCTAGTGATAACTTCACTGGCCACTCCTCAGATGGTTGTTAGAGATCCTTCCTGGGTCATGGCTGCCTAAAATGCATCCAAACATTCAGTATCTCCTCCCTCTGCATGCAGACACTGAACTTTCCTCATAGAGATTCATTGATTCAATTCATCTCTATGAGGATATGCTGATTGGCTAGGGCTGTGTTTGAATTATGCTGGTTCTGCCCCTGATCTGCCTCCTTGTCAGTCTCAGCCAATCCTATGGGGAAGCATTGTGATTGGATCAGGCTACTCTTTCTGGTGATGTCAGCAGACTGCTTGTTTTTCTGAGTCTTACAGCTTGCAGAGTTACAGCTTCAGGCTTGAATACAGTAAGATTTTTACTATATTTATGGAGGCATGAGGGGCTCAGGGGGGCTAGATGGTGGTTTTAACACTATAGGGTCAGGAATACATGTTTGTGTTCCTGACCCCATAATGGTTATCTCTCATTTATTGCACCAACACATATTATATACTGGTTTTTAGAGAGAGAAAATGGCTTTAATACTATGTCACATGTACATATAAATTCTCATCAATTATAAAAGAAATGCCAAAAAATTGGGGGAGGAGGGGGACAAAAAATGGGTTTTTTTTTTCACAGTTTTGGCAATAATAGCTTGCAGGGCCGGTTCAAGGATTTTTAGCTACACAGGCGAAGACACATTTTGCCACTCCCCACCCTCTAAAAAAAGAACTGCGTCTTCAACTGTGTGTCTCATAGCCCCCCTTTTGAATTTCTTACCCCCTTTAGTGTTTCATATCCCCCTCTCTTTAATGTCTTACCCACTTTTGCCCCTTTGTGTGTCTTACACCTGCTCTAATGTATTTACCCCACCTTGTGTGTATCTTACAACCCCCCTTGTGTATCACTTCCACCCAGCCCCTTTGTATATCTTTCTTCCCACCAGAACCTTTGTGTTTCTCTTACATCCTCATTAGCCCATTTTGTGTCTCTTTCCTCCCCACAGCCCCTTTTGTATGTCTCTTTCCTCCCCAAAGCCCCTTTGTGTGTCTCTTTCTTTCCCCCAGCCACTTTCTGTGTCTCTTTCTCCCACCACCAGCATCTTTGCGTGGCTCTTTCCTCCCAAACCATACAGACATAGATATACAGGTACAAATACATACATGCACAAATACACAACCATATAGTTACATAGTCATAAAAGGAACACAAACAAACACAGTCATACAAGCAACCAGTCCTACACAGAAATACAGGCAACCAGTCATACAGAGACATAACGACAGTCACACAGTGATATACAGATCAAAGAATAAGGACACCGTTATACAGAGACATACGGACGCAGTCATACAGAGATTTACACGCAGACATACAGACAAAAGGCATACAGAGACATACATAAACAGACAAATACTACTAGTGATGAGAGGAGGATGGTTGCTAGTGATGGGAGGGAGAGAGGAGGATAACTGCTAGTAACAGAGAGGAGCTGTGATGTCCCTCCTCTGCAATGTTCCCTCGCGCACCACTTAGTGAGACCGGGGCTGGAATATGACTTCATATTCTGGCCTCCCTAAGCGGCGAGGGAGTAGAGCAGAAACATCATAGCTCCCTCACCGCCAAGCAACAATATGTGCCGCCAGCCACCTGCCTTCACAATCCCCCAGCATCAACATATCCCCAGCAGGCCTCCCGTCTGCTTTGGCGGTAACAGGCTCAAATATCCTAGGTGCCATGGCGGCCTGGTATTTGTCAAGCCCTGTGGTTTGCCACTATAGTTTGTAAAGCTACAGTTCCATATCGTTACATTTAGAATTATTTGAACTGTGCCAACATATTCCACAGCGATGTGTAATAGGAAACTAGACAAACATTTAATCTAACAAAACTTGTATAACAGAAGGGAACAGTAGGTGAAGAGGGCCCTGTCCAAACAAGCTAGAATTTTAAATGATGGGTTTGATGGAATTATATCCTCTTCTGAATAAAACAATACCCCCAATGTATGCATTTGCCACTGTTTTGTGAAGTAAGGGGTTAAGAAGGGAGGCAATTGTTTAAGAACCAAAACAAAACCTAGAATTGTAACTAATGTTTGTTTAAGCACAACATACCCTTTTCATACTAAGTGCACCCACTCTTATTATATATTCCGGATAATGGGGCTTTCATTTAAAAAAAAAAAAAAAAAAAAAAGGTTTTCCAAGTTATGCTTGACATTTTAACTTCAGCTTTTATTGCAATAATACAAACACACATATTTGTATACTGTGATATCCAACATGTACAACAATGCCCCCCATGTGCAGGTTTCATGGGGTTTTGGAAAGTTATATGGTAAAATATAGGGCTTGCAAATTAAATTATCTGTTATTGCAGTGGGGGTTATTATGAATTATATACTGCACCTTGTTACAGGCAAAGTTGCCCCAGTTTTTAATTAATTGACTGGTCCCCTGCGTGAGACTAATTACCAGCTCATCAAAACACTGTACATTGCTCCTGCACTAGGACTCTACAACTACGCTCTGCCTTTCCTTCTGCAAGGAGGGTGGACGAACGGCTGTGGGGGTCAAGTCGTCTTTTCCCTCTTCTCCCACAGTATCAAAATCTATTCTTACACCCACTTTCAGCAACCTCCCAAAAAATCCACTTTTCCCTCTCTCTGATACACCCGCTTTCTCATCTCATGTCCTGCACTCATTTCTTTGTTCCCGCTCTTCTACTTTCAAACAATCTCATCCTAGACCTCATCCATACAAAACCCACTCTCACCTCCTGTCATTTTCTCTCCTACCGCTTCTAGGAGCCAGTGATATCTCTACCAACCCTGGGCCCTTCATCCCCTCTGCTTACACTAAGCCAAACAGAAACCACCTGAACCTCATCCATGTACCCAGCCATTTAACCTTATATACCAACATTCAGTGTACACTCCGGAACTCTGTCTGCAACAATCTGAAATCGACTGCTATACACAATCTCTTCATCTCAAATTTTCTCACACTGCTGGCACTCATTGAGATCTGGCTGTCCCTCTCAAATAGTACTACTCCTGCTTCATTAAGTTTTGGTGGGCTACAGTTCTTTCAAACTCCCCATAAAATTACACTAGCCGACATGAGTTTTCTAAAATGTCAATTTAAATGACTTAATCACAAATATGAACATAAAAATATTATATCACATCACATTTCTTAAATACCAACTAAACTTTGTGGGATAGTCGAGCGATCAACCAGCATTATGATGTAAAATAATGGCCTTCAAGTGTACAGTTTATTCCAGGATAGAAAAATGTTTAATATAACCCATTAGTAAATTCAAATTTGGTACTTCATTTGCTACTCTATATAAAATTGGGATTTATGAAGCAATTTTTAAACCCTTTTAAGGACAAACTTGTTTTCCTGGCATTATAAGGTCTTTAGGTCCCCCCCACCCTCAGGGTCCCACTGGGCTAAAGGGGTTAAACACTTACCTTTCTCCAGCGTCGGGCTCCCTCGGCGCTGGGGAGCTCTCCTCCCTCTGCTGACGTCCACGCCTAATGCGCATGCACGGCAAGAGCTTACGCGCGCATTCAAATACTCCATAGGAAGTCCATTTCTCAGTGGGAAGCGCCACTAGAGGCTGGATTAACCCTAGTGTAAACATAGAAATTTCTCTGAACCTGCTATGTTTACAGTTGCAGGGTTAACACTAGATGGACCTGGCACTCAGACCACTTCATTGAGCTGAAGTGGTCTGGGTGCCTATAGTGGTCCTTTAAATACAAAAAAATAAACCATTTCAATATTTAAAATATACATTTCCTAAACTAAGCAACCCCAAAATCAGAGAAGGTATATTTGTTGGTCCTTAGATTAAAAAATTGCTAAAAGATTAAAGGACCACTATAGTGCCAGGAAAACAAACTCGTTTTCCTGGCACTATAGTGCTGAGGGTGGCCCCACCCTCAGGGTCCCACTCCCGTCGAGCTGAAGGGGGAGGAGGGTGTTAAATGCTCACCTTTCTTCAGCGCCGGGCTCCCTCGGCGCTGGGGACTCTCTTCCTCCTTCGGTCGTCATCGGCTGAATACGCATGCGCGGCATGAAAATCAATGAGACAGCCACCAGAGGCTGGATTAACACTAAAGTAATCATAGCAGATAACGAATTAGCGGCGTGGATTTTTTAAAGATCTATAGTAGAAGGGCTTCTTGGTAATAAGAAGGATGGACAGTATACAAAAATAATAGAGCAATTAATCAAAAACTATACATAAGAAATGATGGTGTTGAATGTCACTAAAAGTCCACTTTCTACATTCTCATGTTAAAGGAAAACTAGGGTGTTAGGAATGCAGAGTTGTATTTCTAACCATAGGCGTGCGCAGCCAATTGCATTAGGGTGTGCACCCTAAAGCACAAACACACGCCACGCGCGTGTGTGTGTGTGTATGTCTCTCTCTCTCTCTCTCTCTCTCTCTCTCTCTCTCTCTCTCTCTCTCTCTCTCTCTCTCTCTCTCTCTCTCTCTCTCTCTCTCTCTCTCTCTCTCTCTCTCTCTCTCTCTCTCTCTCTCTCTATATATATATATATATATATATATATATATATATATATATATATATAAACACACACACACACTGCTGTGTGTGCTGTTAGTACTGTGTGCTATTGAGTGTTATGTGTGTGTGAGGGTGCGTGTTTGTGACTGTGCTGTTTGTGTGTGTATGTTTGTCCTGTGAGGGTGCTATTTGTGAGGGTGCTGTTAGTGTGCTGTGTGTGAGGGTGTTGTGTTTTTTTTAAAGGTGCTGTGTGTGTTTGTGAGGGTGCGGTTAGTGTACTGTGTGTGTGTGAGCTGTATGTATGTAGGTGCTGTATGTGTGTGTACTGTATGTTTGGAGGGATTTGGCAGATTAGTAAATCCTTGCTGCCATGTGCCATCCCTGGTGGTCCAGTGGAGAGTGAA